TTTTTCTTCTTTTTCTTTAACCTTTACCTTTATCCGAAACAAAGTAAGTTGTTCACTCGCATACCCATAGTTATATCACATGGTGCATTTACAAGCTGTCACATGGATGTTAAGCGGAAAAAAGAAAACAATACATTACCAGTATCAAACTCATTGAATTCAAGAAATTAAAAGTGTCCCCGTTGAAGAATAAAGAAAAGACGTGGGAATTGTGTCAAAATACAATAGCAGTTTCGGGTAATGAAAGACAAAGTATAACTATTCTAATATGCATTAAAACAACTGATTTTTAATCTAATTTAACAAAAAGAAGATTATCTATTAACAAAGAGCTGTATAAATAAGCTATAATACGAGATATCAGACAGAGTTATAAATGGAAGTATAACCACAACTCTCCTCTCGTTCTCACTTGCAGTACTTGAACAGTTTAACAAGTAGACATGACACAGTAACATAAGCAAGGGTTTTTTTTTTTTTTTTTGAAAGATAGGTATCTGTCGATCAGTCACTTGGTTTGTACACGTGGGTATCATACATCAATAGAGATACATCTGTATTACTCTGTGTCGGTAAACTTTATATGTATAGACTAAAGTATACATACATGCATCGAACATCTAGCCCCATTGCTAAAAAAAGTAAAATTAGAGAAACGTCAAAAACATGTATATGCACAATTCGGAACTAGTAAATGGCAGGTAAAATAATAAGAGTTATATTCCACTATCATCAGCAATATAGTTTCAATTAAACAGTGTGCATGCAGCGCTAGCTTGGATATGTGATTTTTTTTTCTGAAGAAAAGATTGTATGATTTAACAACATCAAATGAAGCAGTTAAAAAGAAAAAATAGAAAGTGGAAATGTACTACAAAAGTCATCGAAAGAAACCACTGTACATCTTGCATATACCAAAGGGTGTTGAATATTGAAGGGGGACCATCAGAAAGAAACCTTACTCATACACCATTGTATTGTTTCCTTTGCCCCATCAATGTCGGTTTTTTTTTTCTTTCTAGATTAATGTAGGGATGGATCTCTTTTATTCTTACAAAGTGAAGAGAAGCATTTTCTACAAGAGGGTATAATTGCGCTGTTGTCAAGTGATGTGATAGGAATTATTGAGTAATCAAGAAAAATGACATCCTCCTGTTAAATTTTTTAGTAATTTTTTTTGTTCAATTAATTGAATCTAAAATTAGCTTGATTACTGTCTACAATTAAAGTTGACGTTTTTTTTTTCTTTTTTTTTTGTTGTTTTTTTCTGTTTTTTTATTCAAATAAAACGATTGACATTGACGTGAGAAGCAAGAGAATATAGAAAATAGGAAAAACTTATTTCCCTATACCAATTACTATATCTGGGCGCAGATAAGACCATAAAAAATATCAGATTGCACAATACCAAAAATTCGTATCTTTTGTCCTTGTGGTGTTTACCTTTTGTATTTCAATATCGAAAAGCTATACGTGCCATTATCCCCACCAATCAATATATAGTTCACTCTTGGCAATTGCATATCGTATACTCTCAAAATAGAAAAACAAAACACAGAATCCCTATACAACAATATTGCAATAACAATGCAGATGTTATCTAGATGGAAGTGCTAGTTCTTGACGCAGGAGCCACTAATTGTTCAGCTGCTGAATAATGGTTTCTCCAGGTTGACCAGAAAAAACCAATAATATGTTACGGTTTTATTTTTTCTTTTGGCTTGCTTTCCTGTTAGGTTTTGATCTTGAGAATATTGTTCGATAACTAGACATATCTGCACATTTTTAAAAAAAAAAAGTGGAAAACAAGGCAATGAGACAAAGTGTTCACAATGGTAAGCCCCCGTTCTCCCCGCCACATGCATGCACACCACACGCTTTCTTTCATTTATCCGACTACTGAGAAAAGTGTATGTAGAGAGAAACGTAACCGTATTTTTTTGGTTTGGTGTTAGCTGAGCTTATGGTTTTCCAAATTTGAAAGGGAATCCTGCTAGGGGCGAGCGGCGGGCGGAAACTATTTTTTGCAGTTGGTGGCAATGACGACATAGAAACCAGTAGTTAATTGCTCTCTATGTGTTAAAGGGTGTCACGATGTCGCACAAATGTCGCTTATGTATAAAGCGCATGTACAAAAGCGCATGCGACATTTGCATAACCTGCATTTTTCCTGAACTTTTTTGAGCTTTTGTGCTTACCTCGGAAGTCATCAGTTATAAAAATAATGTTTGATGACTCGGTGCTTTTGCCTAGTGAAAATCATTTACCAAGTTGAAGTAAATAGTACAAAACACGTTTACAGTATCAAAATTGACAGTCTACGACTTACAATTCACCATCTACAAGCATTACTTTGTAAAACAGTCAAGGGAAGATTAATCACGATGTCGGACTTAATGAATATTTAAAGATTTAGCAACTAAAAACGTTCAAGGGGTGAATGGTTTAGGGTAAAATGAGTACATGATTAATACCGCAAAATGATGCATTTACCGTATGCATCAAAGAGACGTGTATCTCTAGCTATAAGTTGCAAAGGAGAAATGTCCTTTGCCAAATCACTAGAGCTTTTTTTTTCAAAGAGAGACTAGAAGTGAATTTTTTAGGCGTCAACGAGCATTAACTTATAGCGCAAATGGTCTCTTTAGAGAGAAAGAAAAAAATACCTCTCAAATATTTGATCCACCACCAATTATTTTTTAAAACTCATTACATCATTGACACAATTATACCCCGATGATCCAATAATAACCTCGGTGTCAAAAATCGTACATTATATGTGAAAGTTAACGATTTCAAATTCGCGAATCAAAAAAATGCTACGAACCCCACAAATTCAACAAGTCGCAATAGATTTTATTTGTTTTAAACCTTATCAGATACCAGTTGAAACTCATTCTTGTTCATACATACCCGTAAAACAACAAGGAACTTTCTTTGTTTCTTTCTGGAGTCGTCTCAGATTCTCCTTTGTTCATTATTTCTACCCCTTGAAGATTGCAATGAAGAAAAATACGTGTAATTATGCCAAAGTGGCCACATCATGAGAAAACCAAAAAAATAAGAATACACCAAAACAACTATTGTGAAAGAACAAAAGAACAAGAGGCAGGAGTAAGAGAGGCAAATGAAAAAGTACAGGGAGCTTCAAGTTGCCTCATCATCAAATTTCTCATGACTAACAAGCAAGAGGATTCAGTTATCTCATTAAACTAGCTGGTTCAGTCTTATGATAGATAAGAGTCTTGACCCTTGTCATCCATTATCCAATTAGATAAAACCTTACAAAAGAGCAAATGTTTATCAGTTACAAAAAAAAAAAAAAAACCAAAAAAAAAACGGCCCACCTCTCACAAAATGTTTCCTCTCGTAACCATAACAGGTTCATGTATTGTCAATCATTCACACATTCACACATTTAACACATTTTTCTTGCATATCTTTTTGTTCTGTAGATAAAGAACGTTGAGTCACTTAATCAATATGCGAATTAAACGATTAACCGGAGAGGGTAATTTGCGTTTTTGTATGCAACTAAAAAAAAAAAAAAATAAAAAAAAAAGGAAGAAAGGAAGAAAGGAAGAAAGGAAGAGGAGAGGGGAAAGTGTGATAGGTGCCAGGTAATTATACAACTTGGTTGCGTATCAAGAACAGGGAAAGTATACCTTCAGTTTTAAGCCAGTTGTTGGATGCCAATAATGCAACAACGAGATATCAGATCAAGAAATATATACGTGATTCAAAAAAAAAAGCAAACTGAAAGCAACCCAAAACCAAAATGTGTACTTGAAACTATGATCCCTGTCTCAAAGAGAAACACCTCTGGTATGACGTTTGCAGTTTGTTCTCAGAGCCAAGGGTCGTAATGTTTCAGCCAAAAAGAAAAACAAAACAAAAAAACAAAAAAAAAAACAAGATATATCCCATTTTTGGTGCATAGGGACTTTTCTGATGTGCAGTACACTACTGTCATTGAGAATTTCCACCTTTACTTTTTCATTTTGTATTTGACCGTAATCAGTATTATGCAGTACTGTAACAGGATTTAGGCGCCGCATGTTGTGTAGCAAAAAAAACAAAAAACTGTTTTGTGGTCTCATTCTAGTAGGACGTGCAAATCGTTCAAAATATGTCATAAATGAGGTTTGTGTAATCAAGTAAGCTTGCTTTGTGTAATAAGGGGTTTGTGTTGAAAAAAATGGCCATTCTCTCTTTTTCCAGTAGCTCAAATCTTAAATGTCTTTATCAAGAGATACAAATTTTGATGAATATATGATAGGTATAGGTATAGTAATAGACAACAAATACATGAGAGCTGAATAGTAAAACTGTACGATATTAAAGCCTCCTGGAACATTCACTCAAGCATTGATTGTTAGCTATTAAATATCAGATATTAAGTATTAAGTATTAAGTATTAGCTATTGAGAAAAAGAAAAGTTCCAATGCATAAAATCAAAAAAAAATTGAAAATGCCCATTCCGCTTCTCCAAACTAACCAATAAAAAAACAACACAAGAACACATTTACACATAAACACCCACAATCATTAACAGCATAAGCAGCATTATCAGCACCATCTACCATTCATTGATCCCACAACGTCATCAACTTTTTTTTTTTCCTTTCCTCCATTATATATTTTATTTCTATTTAAATCCAAGCTATTTTCCCACATTTCCTCCAGATTTTTCAACCTCAACTTATTTGACAAAGACAAAAAAAAAACAAAGACAAAGGCATCTGACAAAGACATTTGTACTTTTCCTTTTTTGATACATCTGTTTATTTGTTTTCCTGTTAGATTGCAAATCCCATTACCTGATCAAAGTTTTAAAGCATTAGCACCACCACCATTACCAACATTACGAGCTGAATTCATCTCACTTTTGACTCTTTCCAATTGTAACTGTTGATCTTTCAAAAAGAATAATAATAAAAAAAAAGTCATAGTTTCCAGAAAAGGTTGATTTTTTTTCCACAGTTCATATACTAGTCAAATGTCCACAGCTATATACTACACCCATAATATGCCCAGCGACGATTTACAATCGATTTCTTCTTCAAATAGGCATACATTACCCTCGCTTTCCCAGATTATGCCTCCAGTACAACACCAGCAAACTAGCTCAAGTGATGGAGCGTCGAACATTTCGCCAAATCTTAACACTCATTCAAATGTTTACCATCAACAACAATCACAACAACAGTATCAATTAACAGGAGCACAACAAAGTTATGTCACTGATTCTTTTGCATCAAGTTCATCTGCTTTGACCACTCCTAGTTCAAATTACAATAACGGGTACGAGCAAGGTACCAATCAACAACCACCACAACAACAATCTATAAGTTCCTCCTCAAATGCTGGCAATGGACAGAATGACCTACCTCAATGTATATGTAAGAACAATCCACATAAGATCCCCCGTCCAAGAAACGCGTTCATTTTATTTAGACAAAAGTTCCATCAACTTGTATTAGATGAAGGATCAGTCATTCGCACCAACCCTGAAGTTTCAAGAGAATTAGGACGTAGATGGAGAAACCTACCACCAGAGGAAAAAGAGCATTGGGACCGTTTAGCTGAAGAAGAAAAGAAAAACCATGCAAAAAAGTATCCTGACTATAAATATACACCAAGACGAAACGGTCGTAACAAAAATTGTCTTGCTTGTAAAGATAAGCCAACCGCTAAGGAACAGCAGCAAAGAGCAGCAGCAGCAGCAGCAGCAGCTAATGCTGCTCCTCAAAGTTTTGGGCGACAAACAGACGTTGCTCTTCAACAGCAACATAGCTTCCAATACGATCCACAGCAGCAAAACCATAACCACAACCAACAACAACGTTATTCTGAAACTGCTTTGCTTGTTCCCGCTCAGCAGCAGCAGCAGCAACAACAACAACAACAACAACAACAACAACAACAACAACAGCAGCAGCAACAATCACATTTACAATATGAACAATATCAAAACTTACTTAAACAGCATCTGTTCCAGCAAGCTGTGCAATCGACGCAACACGTACAACCGACCCAGATTCATGGCTATCCAGGATACGTTATTACCAATCCATACTTGATACCTCAAAGCTCATCATCTACTTCTCTAGCTTCAACCACTGCAGGTTCATTAGCTAGTTTACCATTACCTTCTTCAGCAATTGCGAGTACCTCAGCACAGAGTGGGCTCTACGATAACGAAAGGTTATCGCCATTGACACATTCTATACATCAGGGAAATGTTGGTAATTATTCAACAACATTGCCTGTGCCTCATCAACAACAATATACTACTGGCTTAGGAGGTGTTTCTTCTGCTTCTGAGTACGGTACAGTAGTCCAACCAGCAGTAGCTACTGCTAGTAGTAGTAGTAATGCTGTTTCTACTGCAACTGCTACAAGTGGTAATTCTATTGGTAATGTTACTGGTTACGAAGGTATGAAGTATGGCTATAACTCGGCAGCTCCTATCCATGGTACTGCTACGGGTTCATCTACGAATTCCTATGGATTTGATGGATTTTCTCAGCAATAATAACTTGTAAGTTCTACGGACAAAGAGATTAGAAAAGATATGACGTTTTGATGTGTGACTTGTTTTCATATTTGGCTTTGGCTTTGGTTTTTGGTTTTTATCACTATTATTATTATTATCATTATCATTATTATTATTATTATTATTGTTATCTGTTATGTTGATTGCGTTTATTTTCTAAAGTATATTTGATTTAGTTTAGTTCATATAGATAAGAAACGTTGAAATTTGAAATAAAAAATGACTGCAAATTTCGATGTACTGAGATTGCATTTTGAATGGGTTCTGGCTGTTTAGGGTATTGAATTTATTCATTTACATTTTACACCTTTATAACCTTATGTGTACTAGAAGAATTGTTCAAGAATCTCTCGAGACAATTGGAAAAGCTTGTTCCTCTCTATTTCTTTTGTCTTGTTCTCATACAATGTAAGGTTGTTACCTGAAACAATCAAAAAAGATTTTGTGTCGATGCAACTTGAAGATTTTGCATTTTCTTATAATCTTTCTAGGTTTGTTATAAAACCCTGAAGTTACGGAGTAATGAGGTTTTCTTCAATATTAAGGTTTAGCCGAGAAACTATTCAGAAAGCAATTTTTTAAACATGAAACAATTCCGAGCCTAGACATATTATGAATACTGGTGGTGAGAAGAAGAGAGAGATGGAGATGGAGAAGGAGAAAGAGAACTTGTGTATTTGAAAGTGTGGGGGAGGGGCAAAGAAGGGAAGGAGCAAGCGATGAGAATAATGTGACTACATGTTACAATTGATCTGTTTCTTTAAATTACAAATTATCACATCTTTGTTGCTCTTTCTGTGCAACTCATTGCCCAAATGTTCTATACACGATCGAGGGATTTGTAAACAAAAACATCAAATCTGTTGTTAAGCACAGGGAAGTAGAGAGTGGTCGGTAAATGCACAGAGCACAGTAATTTGATCAAAGATGAAAGATGACGAGAGGAAGAAGAGAAAGAGGTGGGGGGGGGGGGGGGGGGCTTTACACATGGTTGATTGCATCCACAATTTTTCAAGGAAAAGACTAAATCTGATTTGACATTAATTTGGAAATATGTGGCATAATTTTTAGACTAGACACAGTTTCTCCTTAGGAGTAGATTAAAACGATGAATGTGAAATGGTTTACTGAGTGTTCTGAAATTTAATAACATACTCTAATAATGCAATGTAAACCTTTACAGTTTTCTGGAAGAAATCTTAGAAAGGATGAAGATGAAAGAACTCTGATGTCTTCCTGATACCATGACCCAGTGCTTTTTCCCCCTCTGTTTCTTTCTCTTTCATCTTGTGAAGCTAGCCTCTCTGCTAAATACGCTACCAACTGTACCTTTTCAAAAGTTACCATTTGGAAATTTCCACTAACGACAAGATGCACTTCAATTTCAAAATAATGTAAGGAGCTATGCGTTTTTTTGTGTTTGCCTTTTGTCGTTTCATTCCCCAAGAGCTTGACAAGTTGCTGTTTCTTGTTGACTTTGGTTGCAAAAAAGAAACAGACAATTTTTTTGGAGTTATAATCTTCCAACTTGACATAAATTAAAAGGGTTTGGTAATTCTAGAAACAAAAAAGAAACACAGAGACATACAAAAGGAAAAGGAAAATACATCTTTATTTTCACATAATTAGACAGACAAGATAGCGTGTAGACCAGGCGGTGACAAGAATTTAATTGTGTTCAGGGATAGCCGCAATTTACCACAAATGTAGCAATTTTAACCACATATAAAAATAGATCAAAATTAGTCTTTTAGTCTTTTTTTTTTCTCAAAAAGAGAATCCAAGTTCTAATCTAAAGGAATAGTGAAATTTTAGATGAAACAGCTAGTGTTCTATAAGAGTGGCAATAAGGTGTAGAGGTTAATATGCTAAGAACTTTTTTGATTAGTGTTCATTCCTTTGTTTACTATTAAGGTTAAGTTTTTAGAGATCCATGAGGGGGGGAGGGTGTTTATGTTGTGTGGAGCAAGAAGGAACAGTATGAATAGGACGACCAGCAGCAGCGGTGTCTATGGATATATGCGTCAGTGTTAAATGAAATAATACAATCAGAGTCATCGATTCACTCCCACGACTTTGTTTTGCTTATTTTTTTTTGAATAATTTGTAATTTTTAGTTATTTCTCAGTGCTCAAAATAGAAGGGGGGAAGCTATTGTTTTAACAAAGATCTACAAAACAGTAGAACAATTTGATAGATCAATGTCAAAAAAAATATTTTTTTAATAAAAAAAGGGTCTATTGTCCTTCGGATCTACACTAATTCATACTGGTTCCAGATTGTTCCTACTTAATGTTAAAAAAAACAATCGTTAAAAACAATTCTCATCAACGTTTTATTATTCGATTTTAGTTTTTTCTTGTTCTGAATAGTTTTGTTACTTTTTTTCAATTGTTGAAAACTTTTTTATGCCTTTATACTTCCTCAGACATGTTTCAGTGGTAATACTTATCTTGTTCACAAACCAATCAACCCTTACACAACGGAGAGTGTGGTACCTTATTAGTATCCATCTCGCTTGACTGGATCTCATCCCTTCATTGCACTACTTGACCCTGAGTTTAAATACTTGTCATTTTATAACACTAAAATCTAGACTGATTGATATAGGGCTATTCTAACATTTCTACATTTCATCTTCTGAAAAAAAACAAAAAAAAAAGTATAAGCTATAAAGTCAAATATCAAAATAAGCTTATAAGAAATATAGTATATATGTATTCCGTGACAATACAATTCATTTTTAAGAAACTGTATGGACGTGCCAACCTCTTGTAAAAACTTCGCCTTCTCCTGCTCTTTATTCTTGCTCTCTCTCACCTTCTGCGTTGTTTAGGTTCCATTCCTACTTGTTTCTTTTGATTTTTTTGAGTAGTTCACACCGAACAGATTGTAAAATGGTTGAGAGGCTATTATTGGGAATTGTCCATTGCGTTTTCTTTAATAAAATGGTACTACCAATTATGGTATCGTAGGCGCTGATAATCTACATCCTCCACCACCTTTCCTTGCCCCTCTCCCTGTTTGCTTTTTTTTTCTTTTTTTCCCATAGTTCCCACGCCGTCGTCACAGTGATATGCAATATGGAAGCTGCAGGAGCAAGGGAGTTGGAGAGAGATTGGGGGATTTGGGGGGGGGGCAATTTTTTTTTTATTGCTATGTTTTGAAAAAAGAAAAGTCCCCTATTATCCAATAATTGAAAGAATAGATAAACCTATCACTAGAATAATGGGGTTTTCTTAATTATTGGAGTGGTTTACGAGACCAAAATACAGGTTAGACGACTTCTTGAGATTCCCAAGAAAGCCATCTACGAGTTATCTACAAAACGGGTAACAATTAGTGTCTCCCATAGAACGTATTAAATTAAATGAATTATAATATAAATAATCCAACAACATCAACATCGACCGTATACAATTTCTTCTAGATATCCTCATCAATCCCATTTAAAGTAATGACTTCACCAGGCTTGAAAGCAGGCAAGCCCAAGTATGGACATCCATCACATCGAAATGCATCACCTAAACTGCATGAACCACAACCGCCAGTTTTACCCTTAACGGTGAAATCAATTTCATTCAACTCTTCCTCTTTGAATTTGACTATATCTTTCTGCTTTTGCCTAAGTCTTTCTTCAATCTTGACTGCTTCAATGTTAGCCAGCTGTGCTAATTGGCTCAATATTGAGTTTTGTTTGTTTGTCTTCTGAGCAAGTTCGTGTTCCTCAATCTCTTTTAACCCACATGTACAGTCCTTACATGCTTTTCTTCTTCTTTTACCATTGGGTAATTCACATTTCTTGGGAATGATTAAATTGTCAGATTTCAAATCTGCTAGAAGATCATTTTCGTCAATATAAATATCCCTTTCGTCGTCCTCATCATCATCTCCTTCTTCTCCTTCAGAGGAGGAGTCACTGAAATAAGTAAGTTTGGTCTCTATAAGTTTCCTTTTTATTCCATTTGTTGTATCAATCTCCTCATCGGTGTTTTGTGCTGAAGTATCTGTTAACCCAGGAGGAGGCGGGCTATAGCCTGCTCCTGCTCCTACTCCTGCTCCTCTTTCCGAAAGTTTTTTAAACATCGGCATTTTCTTATTGACCTTCTCCGAGTCCTTGAGCATGCAGTTTCCTTCACTAAACGGACTTTTCTTCTTTTTCTTCTTCAAAGTTACTATTTCCGTCACTGGCTTTGGTTTCAACCATGTTCCATTCTCCTGTACAATAAATCCCTGTAATAAAACATCAAGATTTTGGTCCTTGGGTAAATCTCCAACAATAACACCTTCCTCTGCCAATAAGTCGTAAAACAACTTAATCAACAGAATAGGCATTTCAAGGTACTCGCCCTCATTAGGGTTCACATAGTGAACTTCTTTATATGTATTGGGAGTCAACACTATATCCCCCTGAGTTACACGATTGATAATCTGTTGCTCTAGCGTATAGTTGCCATCGCTGTAATTTTTGTTTATTTCCAATTTGATGCTCGCCACTAGCTGTTCGTCAGTCACCACCGTTGGGTGTAGCAATAAAAGGATTCTTGTGCTCATGAATGTTCTACAACTTTTTTTTATAAATATGAAATGGAATAATGATTAACTAAATAGACCAAAGTAGACGTGCTTCTTTCACGTGTAAAAGCGCCCCCCCAAATTGACTCTTTTTTTATGGATACTCTTACACTTTGGAAATTGGTCTCCCCTTTATAAAAACTCACCTACAAACAACTAAAATATGTGCTTGATAAATCTTCTTCCTACCAACAGTGTATTACTTCTTTTAGGCTTTTTTTTTTTCATTTAATTTGCTTAATAAGGTAGCGGGCACTGCTTAGTAATTTTTTCCTTGGTGTAAATCATTAATCACAAATTACTAGTCTCTATTTTATCTTTGCTTATTTTAGTAAGAAAATCCAAGAACTAATCACCTGACATTAATGTAAAAGGTTTTTTTTAATTAATATACAGTATGCTTACATATATATAAAAGAGTATTAGCTATTTCAGCTATCGAGCTGTTGCAAGTGCAATCAGATATTTATGATAAGAAAAAGACAATCAAATTTATCTATTATAAGAAAAAGATAATCAAATTTATCTATTTGATCATTGGTTTAAATAATACGGGCTAAGGCTAAAAGCTCAACTCACACTAGCATGACTTTATTTGCTCTAGTGCATTTCGTAACATATACACAACTCAATAGTAGTGACTTTATATATTGTAGTGATTATTCCTAGTAATGACTTTATTTATTGTAGTGATTATTCCTAGTAATGGCCTTTGATCAACAATCAAGCATACCGAGTTTCAGCATGATTGAAGATCCAGTCCTTGCCATTTTTTCACTCTGGAAACGTTTATAAATCTCGCTTACAAAACAGTCTTTATGCCGACAGGCGGGGTTTGGTGCTCGATGCGACGCTACTGAGCGACACTATCGAGCGACACTATCGAGCAGAGCGAGAGAGTGGAGCACACTAGTTCTTAACACTAGTTCTTAACACTAGCTCTTAACACTATCTTCACATACTGACTAACTTGTTAGACTTGTTAGACTAGCTTGTTACAACACTATCTCGCTCCACTCAATAGTGTTGGTGCTCAATAGTGTTGGTGAATAAATTCAAGTTATATAGGATTGTAGGAAAAAAGAATCTTTTACTCTTTACGTAGTTTAGAAATAGTCAAGAATTCCTTGCTTTACTATCTCGCTTCGCTCCATTGTGTTAATAGCTAGTGTGCTCCATTGTGTTAATAGCTAGTGTGCTCCATTATCTCGCTTCGCTCGACAAGCGACTGGTCTACTACCAAGTTTTCCTCTCTCAAAGAGATTATCAGTTAATACAATATCCCTTCTTATTTCTTTGTGCGCGAGATTAAGGGGTCGGGTTGCATTTAACAACGCATTATTTGTTTATGTTTTCTATTTTTTTAAAGGGTCATATTAAAACCACCCCGGTTTCTTTTCTTATTACAAAAAGAGAGCACCTACAACATAAAATTGCAATAACTAGGCTATTTTATGAGACATAATACAGTATGAAATTCATTGATTGTTCTATAAAAAAATGATTATTTATTCTTCATCAACAGTCTCATCAGATATATTATCTTGTTCCTCGTCTGTATCGTCTGTAGGAAAAACCATTCCACGTCTAGAACCAATGGACTGCGGTGAAGACAAAGCCATTAGTGAGAAAACAGCATCCTTTTCGTTATTCTTACTATCTAGTGATGCTGCCAGTCTTATTGGTGGCAATTTGACCTCCTGCAGTGGTGTTGGTGCTGGAGTTGCAGTAATAATTTGTAACGTTGGATTCTTATCTTCAGCTATTGAAAAAGAGCACCTCTTCAGTCGAGATAATGCCGCTAGTAAAGCTGATTGTGCATTCGTTTCTTCGTCAGGTGATGGCATATCGTTCAATCGCGAAAATGCCTCTGGCCCTGTTTGTTTCAATACAGGCGAATGTTTCAATGATGAGCTCGTTTCCTTGTCTATTCGTGATGAAAAAGGCCTAGAGGTGTTATTATTATTATTATTATTATTGTTATTATTATCATTATCGTAATGATAATTATTGTTCTTGTTGTTCTTGTAGTTATTATTGGTGGTGGTAGTTGTGGAGAATGAGGAGCGTGTAGTTTTCGCTATAGGGGATTGTTGTAATGTTTGCAAATTCAAATTGGCTCGATTCGGGGTATTTGCAGAAGCCCTGCTGCTTGTCAATTTCATATTTGAAGTTGGGTTATATTTTTTTGTCGGCGAAGTTTGTGAATCAAACGATAACTCGGTAAATGTTAATTTATTTTGCACTGATGAAGCTGGAGTAAATATTTCGTCTTTTTGTAATTTACCCAATGCCTTGGTAAGTTTGTTTTTCAACTTCAAGCTTATTTCTTGTAAGCTTTCTCTGTTCGGACTGGCTATTGTATTATTGGTGGCAGCAGATGTCTCTTCGTTTTGAAACAATCTTTTTGCAGTGCTCAAGTATTGAGGTGTCTTTGACATTTTCACTCTCCGGCCATCACCATCGCCTTCGTCGCCTTCTGGCGAATCGTCTATAGCAGAATGTCTGGGGGTTTTCAAAAGATGTGCTGCACTAAATGGGGAGTTGATGTTGTGATAGACCAATTTCCCATCTGGCGACTTATAGGAGCCTGAGCTAGTCCTCTTGTATGATGGTGTAAACGGTAGTGTTGCTGAATTTCGCTTAAACGTCGCGTCCTTGGATTGTTCTGGTGTTTTGATAAAAGATGCTGATATCCGCTTTCGACTTGGTGGCGACGGTGTAGATTGTTGTTGCTGTTGTTGTTGTTGTTGTTGTTGCTGTTGTTGTTGCTGTTGTTGTTGTTGTTGTTGTTGCTGTTGTTGTTGTTGTTGCTGCTGTTGTTGTTGTTGTTGCTGTTGTTGTTGTTGTTGCTGTTGTTGTTGTTCCTGTTCATGACTTTTCTTCTTATTATTATTAGTGTTTATGGATATTGCGTTATCATTATCACTAGATGTTATACTTTTTTTAATAATTGCCGAAGGCGAGCCGATCATGGGTGGCTGTCGTGTTGACGCGTGCAGTACTTCCGGTGATGTAATCGGAGTTGATGGTTTACTCATTTTTGCAAAAACTAGGAAAAGAAAGAAGGTAACTCACCTATTATGAAAAATAAAAGAAAAAAAAGGTACTCTTTGCTATATGTTACTGGTGTTTCGGAGCGCTATTTCTGGATTATATATGTTTATTTTTCTTTTTCGTAACAATTTTATATTTTGATGTGACAGTTCTTATGTATGAGATTTAGAAGGTGCATACGTATTGAAGGAGAGAGAGAGAGTGTGTGTGTGTGAGAGAGAGTGAGAGAGAGTGAGAGAGAGAGTGAGTGAGTGAGTGAGAGAGAGAGTGTGTGTGAGTGAGTGAGTGAGTGAGTGAGTGAGTGAGTGAGAGATGGCATGGAAAGAGCAGCGAGAAAGGAGAATGCGAGAAAGGGAACAGCGAGAAAGGGAATAGTGCAAAAGGGAACAGTAACAAAATGAACAGTGAGAAGCAGACAACGAGGAGGACAAAGAAATTGTTTTCAACCAGACATACTCGAGAACCGAAGCAAGCTTTGAGATATGACCTGGGCTGCTTAATCAGGAAGCAAGCTTTGAGATATGGCCTGGGCTGTTTAATCAGTAATGATCTTTTATTCGGAAACACACGGGAGACAGATCTCTTACTAGCCCCAAACTTTTGAAAGGTGGTGATAGGTAGTGTACATGTGATCAATCCATTATAACCAAATTTATTATTATTTTTTTTTTTTTTTTCAACCAGTCATTCATTTTGTGGACAGAGTGGACACAGAGGAGAAGAAACCAATTTCAATTTGCCTGCAAACAAACTTGTGCCAAAAGAGAGAGATATATCAATAAACACGCGCTACCATGTATTACATATTGAAGAATGCATCAACGGTACGTACGCTACCATAGGTTAAACCTTGAAGAATCTTGCATCCTGTCACTTTAAATATTGGATCGAGCGACACTATCGAGCGACACTATCGAGCAGAGCGAGATAGTGGAGCAGCACTGACACTCTGGACCATTACTCTGGACCATTACTATTACTATGGATTATTACTATGGACCATTACTCTAGGCCATTACTATTACTCTAGACCATTACTATGGAATATTACTATGTACCATTACTATGTACCATTACTATGGACTATTACTTTTTTTTGTTTTCTGTTTGGTTCTCGCGCATATCAAACCGTACTCGCCCCGCCCTTTGGGGCTTGTGTCGATACAAGGCCATGCGGCGATGCAATACCTCACCAGCTCAACTGCGCATCGTTGTTCACACACAGAGCTTAATTAAAAGAATATAGTATATGGAACAACACTCAGTAGCTTGTTATACCACTTAGTAGCTTGTTACAACACTATCTCGCTCTGTTTGATAATGTCACCAGTGTTACTAGTCAGTGATGGTCAATAGTATCGCTCGACAGTGTGACTAGTGTCACTAGTCAGTGATGGTCAATAGTATCGCTCGATAGTGTGACTAGTGTCACTAGTCAGTGATGGTCAATAGTATCGCTCAACAGTGTCACCAGTGTTACTAATCAGTGCTGCTCGATAGTATCGCTCGACAGTGTGACTAGTGTTACTAGGCAGTACTGCTCCACTATCTCGCTCTGCTCGATAGTGGTCGATAGTGGTCGATAGTGGTCGATAGTGGTCGATAGTGGTCGATAGTGCCGCTCGATAGTGTCGCTCGATAGTGTGCGCTACCATTTTAATTCAAAACGAAATCAAAACAAATTGAATCGATTAAAAGATGAGACAGGCAAGACACAAATTTCTTACTGTATGCTTTTTTTCTTTTTCCTGGTAACCTTCATACAGTACTATAGAACTACCAGACAGTTGGGACAGGTTAGATCAAGGCAAAAAAAACTACTAGTCTATCAACTGAGTAGTGAGAAAAGACAAGAGACAAACTTTATTTGATAGTATTCAATAAACCTGCTGGGCTCATTATTCAACAGCCTTGTTTTTTTTTTTTTGTGTGAAAACTATACATGAAGCTCATAAGAAAAGATGAGCTATTCATCATCAGAGTTTTTTAACCCATCAGTGGCACTACGAAAACAGCAGCAGCATCAACAATATATAGGTGATGGGTCTAGAATACCCCATATCTCGGCGTCAAGGCCCTCCTCATTGATTCCTCCATCATCATCGTTGAATGCCAACAACAACAACAACAACAACAACAACAACAACAACAACAATGGCATCAACAGTAACGGCAATGGCCACTTCAACTCAAATAATCGCCACTCTTTACAAATGAGCTCATCAGTGGTGCAATCATCATCTTTGAATGAAGTAAACACGCCCTTGGGAAAAAACAAACGAAGATCAGTTTTGCTTTCTGCACCTGCATCGACAAATAAAAAACGTCAAAGCATAGGAATCTCGCAGCCTCTGAACCTACATCATCGGCTGCTGCAGCAGCGACAGTCATTTATGAACCGTTCTCAAGTATTTTCATCGCAACCAACACCACTGTTTTCTCACCGTATTTCAGGTCCATCGCATATGCAAATATTAACCACTGCTACCACCACTGCCGCCACTGCTGGTGCTGCTACTACTACCCCGCATTCCACCTCATCTAGTCAACAAATGGTAGATCCGCGGCCCTTACGAGATCGTTCAGAGCAAGAGCTAATGCTGAAAGAAGTTTACAAGTTTCTTCTTGATCGCAAATTTGACATCAAGTCGGGCATTCAACTAAACGAAAACACTTTCAAACAACCAACGCAACGAAACTTTAACGAAATGTTCAAGTTTATCTATTTGGTTATAGATCCAAGCTATATCTTTGAGAAATCAGTAGAGCAAGAGATTGTTCCTATACTAAGATGGATTCATTATCCTTATCTAGGGACAATATCGAGATCACACTTTAGTGCAGTTGGAGGACAGAATTGGCCCACATTCTTGGGTATATTGTACTGGCTAGTTCAAATGGCAAACTCGTTAGAAGCCTTGGATTATGACCCAGATGATGATTTTGAAAAAATACTTAATCAATATACAAAGAAATGTTATTCAAAGTTTCTTGATGAGGATGATGATTACGAAGGGCCTTACCAAGAAATGATTTCCGACTTTAATGCCGAAAAGGAGAATTATAAAACATTACAAACAGAGTGCGAAAGTAAAGTGCGAGCGTTACAAGAAAAATACGAACAAACCATGGTTGAATTGCGGTTGAATGACGATGCAGACAAGAAAACCATAGCATTAGAAGATGACCATGAGAAATTGAAGGCTTATATAAACCAAGTTAAAAGGATGATACCTGACTGGAAAACCAAAATGGAGTTGGTTGAAAACGAAATGAAGTTGATGACTCAGAAATTGAGTAACTTAAATGAAGAAAAAGAGCAGTTAAACTTGGAACTTGAAAAGCAGGGGATAGTTGTTGAACAGATTAATCAAATGCATCTCGATAGGGATAACTTTGCAAAAGCAGTTGACGCTGCGCACGCCAAGGGAGACGAGATCAAGGATAAATTGGCCACTAGACTTTTTGAGTTGGAGACTAGTATAGATGGACTTGAGTCAGTTTTACTGGAGTATAATACGATAGTTCAGAGATTTAATTATGAAGATGAATCAGAATTCCATTTTGGATTTTCCATCAATAGTGACATTCAAAAACCCGATAGAGCATTTGGAAGAGATGAGGTGTTGCACAATAAGAATATCAATGACGAGAAAATACAGTTGGTGAGATTACTGGATAAACTAAAACGCCAAATTGCCGAGGACAATAAAAGTTTACAAATCATAAACGAAGAGAGCAATTCCATACTACAGACGATCAATATGCAACGAGCCAAAGTTGAGGATTTACAAATTCAAGATACGCTAGCCAAACGCAAATGTGATGAAGTTTCACAAAATCTGTATCGACAACAAGCTGACTTTATAACACAAATAGAGGAAACAGAACATCGAGCCCGAGAAATTAAGATGGCAATGACTTCATCGGTTCTCAATTTGGAGAGGAGATTGAGAGATGCGAATGTTGCCAAAAACAAAATGATTGAAGATATACAATTTGGAGAAAGAGAAATGAATGATCAAATTGATAACATCATTTCGTTTGTTTTGAAATTCAAGTCCAATATTCAAGAAAGATTGGTAATTATGGCAGATACCAACATGAGAAAAGAATCGGATTGATTAATTGCCCACATTTAGCATAGAGATAGTTTTCTACACACCATCTCAGACATATATATATATACACAAGCACAAGCACAAGCACATACACACAAACACATACACACATACACACATACACACAAACACATACACACAAACACACAAACACAAACACGCACGCACGCACAACCTTTTATTTCTTAATTTTAAACTGTATTATTTCCATGGATAAGTAATTATATTTCTTACACTCTGTTGTATTCGTATTGTATGTTATATATATAATTTTAGTATTGAGAATGTATTACTACTTTGCCTTACTACTTTGCCCTCTAATTGGGGAGTTGGAGAAGGAAGGGATAAAGGAAGATCTTGAAGAAAAATGAAGATTTTGTTATGGCTTTGTCCCTTTGTTTGATGGTGAAAAATCCCAATAGTGACGAAAAGTCTCGAAAATAAAAGAAAACATCGCTGCGGCTAAAGATTTTTCATTAGGTTTAGCCCTTAGCGTGAAATTCAGAGCACAATTATGAGTGATATCAACATATTTATAACGTCCGATTTGACTTCATCGGAAAGACGTATATCCCCACAATGGAGCTTACACTATTTGAAGCAAAGATTGGAACAAATCACGGGAGTTGAGCCCTGTAATCAGATTATACAATATTTCCCAAACAAATACTCCAACGAATTTCACCGACTTACTTCGGGACAGGCAGATGAAGAAGATACACTTTTGTCAGAATTGGGTCTTAAGGAATATAGCCGGATACATGTGATTGACGCCGATCCCAACTCTACTACGAACCAACTTATTAACGAGACATCACCTTCTAATGTGCCAATGAGTGGTGGTGGTGGTGGTGAAGAGTTTCAGCTCACTGAAGAAGAGTACCAAAAGAAGAATAATACAGTATTGCAATGGAAACGGGAACAAAGACTAGGCCGATTTGACCCTGATTATGAAATGATTCAGGAAAAGATTAAATTAGAAAACGAAGCTGCTATTGCAAATATCCATGTTGGTGATAGGTGTAGAGTTATAAACATTGAAGGAGAAAGAAGAGGCACAGTGAGATTTGTTGGAAAGATTGATCATTTGGATCAAGGGAAAATGGATTGGGTGGGTGTCGAATTCGATGAGCCTGTAGGGAAGAATAGTGGTGATATTGGCGGTATTCCAGTTTTTGAATGTAAGTACAAACACGGTAGTTTTTTCAAGCCAAAACAAGTGGAAGTTGGCGATTTCCCTATATTGGACCCGTTTGCTGAGGATGAAAGTATGGAAGACTCAGATGAGGAGTTGTGATGGTGGTGATGGGCGAAAAACGCGCGCGAAAATCGTATCGTTAGGAACGGCGATAAAAATTCTGTTAGTTAGTGGGAAGAAAAAAAAAAAAAACCTTGTTAATTGGGTTATTTTCCCCCCTTTTCCGTCCCCATTATATCATTGATTACGTTCCTGCCAACACAACTGGTACAGGTTTACCCCTCTAGAATTATGGCTGCATTTGATGAGATATACGATTATGTTGAGAAGGATACCTTCAAGAAATATTTCCGCCTCGCAGTAGTCATATTTGCATACCTCATATTCCGTAAACTTTATTCTCAATGGGCATCCAAGAAACAAACTGACTATCAGCTTAGACTAGACGCACAAGAAAAGAAACTCAAAGCAGAGAGGGATGAAAAAGAGCGATTAGAAGCTGAAAATAAGTTGAATAAAGAAGCACTGGAGTTTGGATGGGGTAAAAAGACGAGAAAAAATGTCAAGGTTACTGAATTGGTATTGGAACAGATGGCTCAAGAGACGAGGCAAAGACATCAGACGAGTTATGATGCTCAGGAGGATGCCGATATCGATGATTTACTAGAGGATTAGAAACCAGTGGGGTTGGGCGGGGGTCTCTCTCTCTCTCTAGTTTCTCTCTAGTTTCTCTCTAGTTTCTCTCTAGTTTCTCTCTAGTTTCTCTACTTGTGTGTATTCCCATTATAATAGAAATTCTTTTTGTTTACTTAAAGTATTTTTCATCTTCTCTTTCTATCGATGGGCATCGCGCTAGGTGAAAAAAAAAAATATTTTATAGTGAAAAATTTGAAGGATTCTTAAAAGATTGTAGAGGAAGATTAGTATAGCATAAACGATAGCATGGCGGGGGACCCATTTTTGTCGGATCCGACAAAGAAGCGAAAGCGGTTGAGTAAGCTCACCAGTACGTCATCGAAGAATAAGAGGTCGAGATCATCAACGCCACAACCAATGTCAAATAGAGAGGATGAAGAGATCTCTAGCGCCAGTGATAATAGTGACGATGATGGTGTTGGTGGCGATGATGGAGAAGGAGACGAAATCGAAGGGAGACAAGATGAGGATATATCGTCGGATGAAGAGTTTCAAGACGAAAGTGCAGCAGACAAGCGAAGACGGTTGGCCAAGCAGTACCTTGAAAACCTCAAGAATGAAGAATTAGGCGATGTTGAAAACTATGACGCACAAGAGTTGGATGACGAAATATTGTCCAAGAGGTTGCAGAAGGATGTTGCTGAAACTAAGGGTCATGTATATAAGTTTTTCGGATCGAGGATCTCGCAGCAATTGGATGGTGGTACGACCAAGCTAGTTACAACAAGAATAGGGTCAAAGAATTTAACCAGTATGAATGTTCATTACCCTTATCTATACACCGTTTCTAAAGATTGTGAAATAATCAAATGGAATATTAGTCATCGAAGAAAACCACAGAGAGTGAAACACACCAAGGGAGGAGCTCGTTTTTTCAAACTCAATACATCAACTCCAGGGTCAAATCACCATTGGCAACAAATCAATTGCGTAGCAGCATCGCCAGATGGGAAATATGTTGTGACAGGAGGATCCGATTCTCGTTTGATCATATGGTCAAGTGAAAACTTGGCATGCTTGAAAGTATTGGAAACACGATCAGCAGTCAACTCGATAGTGTTTAGAAGGAATAGTGATCAATTATTTGCAGCTTGTGCCGATCTACGGTTACGAACGTATTCTATTAACCAGTTTACCCAGTTGGAGGTGTTGTATGGACACCAGGATAATATCACTGATGTTTCTGCCCTATCTAGAGAGACATGTGTTTCTGTGGGGAGTAGGGATAAGACTGTAATGTTTTGGAAGATTGCAGAGGAAACGAGGTTAACTTTTAGAGGTGGAGACTCGCTTGAAAAGAAACATAAAAAGAGCAAGAAATCTGGCGAGGAAGCAAACCTGGATGAGCTGGAACCGTTTTATTATGAAGGGTCAATTGACGTTGTCAGTATGATTGATGAGTCTCATTTTGTTAGTGGGTCAGATAATGGAAACATTGGTTTATGGTCGCTTGCCAAGAAGAAAGCTCAGGCTATAAAGAGGTTGTCTCATGGAGTACAGCGACAATTTGCACCAGAGGAAGCAAGTGCAGAGACAGTAACGGATCTCGCGGCAAGGCAAATTCCTGAACCACAACCGTATTGGATAACGGCAATACATTCACCTGCTTATAGCGATATATTCTTTAGTGGGTCGTTCAGTGGAGATTTAAAGATATGGCAGTTGGATGAAACTTTGAGATCTTTCAATTTGATTGGGGAAATCAAGAATTTAAAAGGATTCATTGTAAAGATTGATAGTGTTGAAATCTCTGATAACAAACAGTTAAAAGTGTTTGTTCTTTTGAGTAAAGAGCATAAATTTGGTAGATGGTTTGGAAAAATACCTGGAGGTAGGAATGCATTGGTTAGTTTTACATTTGATATATAGTGAAAATACTAGTATTGTTGATAAAAAAAAAAATTTTTTTTTTCCTAAAACTCAGCTTCTTCGTCTCCTTCGTCCTCTCCCACACCTTCCTCACCGTCATCAAAGTACCTCTCGGCATTGTAATCGTTGTCTTCCTCGTCTTCGAATTCGTCGTCGATATCCTCGGAATCACTATGCTCTTCTTTATTGTCCTCCTTATTATCATCGTCATTTCCAAATTGATTAAACAATTGTTCCGTCAACTCTTTTGATTTCGTTTTCTCGTCCTCATCTACAATCTCTTTTCTTTCCTCTGATACAAACTGCCGCAATCCACCGTTTGATTTGAATTTCGATAGTGATAATAATTTCCGTTTCTGTTTACTTGAAACCCCCATCACCAGGTATAGCTCCTCTGGGAAAAACTGCAATTGGTACGGATGATCTTCTATTGTTCTATGTACTTTTTTCTTTTTCTTGTATCTATCCGAATATCGTTCTATTCCATCTTCACTCACATTATGTATATTATTATCTATTTCATCTTGTATAAACTTTTCTTTCCTTGAATGCGCCATGGCGTTTTTACTGGCCGTGGATAGTTTGATATTGTCTAGATTCGCCGTATAAAAGGGACCTTCCGACATGAGCTTGGCAAACGCAATGGATCGCTTAGCTGCTAGTTCTTCAATAAATATAGGTGCTCCATAAACCGGTAGTACGTATTTTGGTTTCTCTATTGTTGCTTCTGATTCTTGCTTTATATCGGAGTACTCTAGGCCAAACGGTAGCATTATCCTACCCCGACCACCCCTGTTACCTCCTCCTCGGAATGACATGATTTTTTGAGTTGTTCTTCTTTCTTTATTATTGATAAACCCTCAACTGATATTCTTGTGAAAACTTTGAGATGATTTGGCTCTAGTGAAAAAAAATGAAAAAAGAAAAAAAAAATTGTTTAATCGCGTGGGAAAAAAGTCGTCCTAGCGATGCGATGGACACTATCGAGCAGAGCGAGATAGTGACAAACACCTACTAGCTTGTACAATACTATCGAGTAGAGCGAGATAGCGGTGCAGTACTTACTCTTAATAGCTTGCCAGAACACTGGAGATAACTAGCGACACTATCGAGCAGAGCGAGATAGTGTTTAAAGCTTAGAGCGATAGAAAGACCACTTTGCTTGGAGGAAGTCCGCTACCAAAGTATCATACATCTGTTTTCAAGATGACGACCAAGTGGAATCTGAGGAAAGAGAGATCTGACCTTCCTAGTTTTTTTTTCTCTCTCTTCTTTTTACCATATTTTGTTGTAAATGTAGTTAGCTTCTGTTAACTAAATCATAAACAATATATCTCTGACAAATGCAACCAAAGTATACAAAGAGGATTTTATGCTGTAAAGTGCTAAACGAAACTAATGGAATTTTGACTTACATTATTCCTAAACTAAAAATTGAGCACGGTTGACAAGCTTATCGACGCTTCATTTAACCTACCCTTTAGTGACACAATTCTTTAAGAGCTTGCATATCATCGTATCTCGCTCTGCTCGATAGTGTGAGCAACATTTTGTAGCAATACCAATAAGTAGTGTCGGTGTAGTCAGCGTGGTCCACTATCTCGCTCTGCTGCTCGATAGTGTAAATTTTTAATTAGTATTCCCAGTTTGGACGAGAAGTAAATAATTACACAATATCAAAAATTAAATTTTTCAATATCGAGTGATTCAAACGGGCGATGCAATGAAAAGTTATTATTATGATTAGGAGTAACGTTGGGAGCAAAGGAGTGAGGTTTCATGCGTTGAGCTGAGGAGTTTTGTTTGGATTTGATATCACACAGTGTTCACACAGTTTTCGCTAAGCACTATTTATCACTTGTCTACAAATGTCGTTGAATAATCTAGATATGGCCAACATATCTTCTTCTGCCTATGTAGATTCGGCAGACGGAACGCTAGTTATCATGGTAGTACGAGCAAAACATTTACCAAATCGAAGAAAAATGGATAAACAATCACCCTATGTGGTAGTACGAATGGGCACTACTGCTAAAAAGACTAATTCTGATTTCAGGGCTGGACAAACACCAGAATGGACACACGAGATACGATTTGATATAACTCGAGATAGGAGACCTTTATTGAAAATTGATTTGTTAGACGAGACTAATGGTGACCCCACACCTATTGGCGGTTGTGAAATAGATGCCTCTATAGTATTCCGACATCCTGGGAACGAACAAGATGGCAAGTTTATATATGACAAATGGTATGACTTGACGTATCGAGAGAAAAGTGCTGGGATGTTGTATTTGGAAATGACATTTTATCCCAGAGTACCTATACTTCCTCCAAAAATATCTCATCATCATGAAGCATTTGAAAACCATGTAGCATTGAGTGGGGGCTACGATGATGAAGATGACAACAAAAGTAACAACAACAACAACAACAATAATAACAACAATAACAACGATCACCTTAGTCTAGGGCACACTCATACACAATCCCGGCAAACACTTGTATTTGAACCTGAAAATGCAAGTAATGATGTGTTTGTAACGCTGGATAACCTCCATGGTAGTAAAGGATCTTCTCTTTTTCTGAAAACTAGTCAATTTTTCACTAAATCAGCTGATGGAAGTGCATCTAGTCATGAGAGAGAAGATGATGTGATAATTACTCCATCTCGTATAGATGGAAGGAAAAGTCCTAGTAAATATGCCAACAAATTTGCAAAATTGAAGAATAAACTAAATATCAAACAATGGGGGAGCGACTCACTGCATTTGAACGCATTTATATCCAACGGGATCAAACGCGATATTTCTCCAATCAGTGTATATCGATCAAATGATTTGGATGAGTTAGAGCAAGATATAATACCTAGTCAACTAAGTATTGTGAGTCCTATAAGAAGTGATATCGATGATGAGTATGACGACCACCACCAACACGACGACGACGACGACGACGACGACGACTTGGAGCTTAGAAATTTGCCAGTACCACCAACTCACCGTATTGCTCTGAAGCCTTTACCAGCACCCCCAGGGCGGAAACCACCTTCCAGTTTCAACAACTTTGACTTTAAAGATTCCACAGCAATACCGTTTTCAGCAGATTTTATTGGTGTCGAAGATGACCACCAAGACTTGTTACCAACAAAAGTGTACATGCTTAAGGAGCAAGTCAAGTCTTTGAGCTTTAATGGAAATTCGCACCATGCAGTAGATGAACCTTTAAATAAAGACGAGATTGATCCAAAGTATTATGCCCCTACGCCGAGTGAACACTTTACCCGTAGCACTAGGTTGGCTGCTGGAGAAGTTACCAAGGACGATTTAAAAATTGATTTTAGGACAAATAAAACAGGATATATCGGTGATGGTAAGTTTAGTCCAAGTATATTTCAAAAAGCTAGTGTGAACACCAGACCTTGGGATGTTTACGATGAAGATAGCGACGATGACGAGTCGAATAAACCTGCTGTACCTCCAAAGATACCAAGAGGTATGAATGAGTTGGAATACTTTGCTTTGGAAAAGGATAAATACTTACAAGACTTGAATGGGAGACGAGCTTAGGACATATGGCATATATAAAAAAACGTTAAACGGTTACTCTTTTGATTTGATACACAGTAGGAAAGAAATAAATTATAAATTATAAAAACGTATACAAGAACGAAATATAACGAAAGGAAGACAGGTAGTTAGTATAGCAGCATAAGTTGAAAAAATTTCTGTATCTTTAGAAGATAGCAGCAACAACAGCTAAGAAACCAGCCGTAACGGAGATGCTACCCAAGTGTTCTTTATTGTAAATACCAAATGCGGCACCTTGGGAACTTGTCTCTACCAGAGACAAACCAGCAGTCTCGCTGCTACTACTACTGCTGCTGCTACCTACTCTTGTAGTAGCTGTAGTTCTTGTCGCAGTTGTGTTACGTATTGCTGTGGTTTCTGCGATATCAGTAGTGTTGGAATATCCTGCAACGTCTTTATTTGCTTCAGCCGTTTGTTTTGCATATTCTACTGAAGATAACGAAGCATAGTATTCTTCAGCTAGTGATCTCATTGCTTCAACAGATGATTGTGAAGCAACTGATTCCTCCGAAGCTATTCTTGCAGCTTCTAAACTTAATGATTCTTCAGGGGTATACAAGGTCATGGTGATAGTTATAGTCAGCACAATTGTTGTATCGAGTTCCTCAGCTTTGATCAAGCTAGCAGAAGCTAGCATTGCGGTGAGTAAAGTTTTAGAAAATAACATTGCAGTGATTGAAGCAGTAAGTGGGTTGTTAAAAACTAAAAGTAGTGGAAGCAAAAGTCGAAGTTGACTTTGAGTTCGAATCTGGGGTAGTTGTTGAAGTAATTAAAGAAAGACTGGGGTTAGAATGAAATGAGTACAACAGGGGGGGTACTGTAAGTCGTGAAACCCGGTGAGTACTTTATAGATCTACTTTTGTCAAAGGGAATGTAATGAATAGTGATAAAAGAGGAAAAGAAGTTTCGTGCCTAAGAATGTGGGAATGAGATTGTTTATAAACAATTAAAAACTCTAACGAGAAATATATAAAGAAAATAACACAACAGTTGATTTTAATAACAATGACCAAGCAAAAAATATGGAGAGAGGGGCCATCGAAACTGTATACTAAACACAACACAGAGTGGGACCAACAACAGAAAAAAGGCATTGATTCACAAAATAATTAAAAAGTAAAGTTAAAATTTTTTAATTATTATCTACATTTTATTTTTCCAAAGTAGTGTTTTGAAAGTAACTTCTAATATCGTCAAATTTTCTAAAAAATGGTGCCAGTGCAGTGTACAGTAAGGCAAGGAAAAATTGCTTTTTAAGGTTTTGATTAATGGGTGAATAACATATAATCTTTTTCTTTTTTTTTTTCTTTTCTTTGGTCAAATGATGCTATTATTTGTAGTCTCATTCTCAAGAACCACATAGTGTAGGCCAATACACCGGGTTCAACTGTTTTGGTAAACGACGTTGTTTTCAAGTTTCGTGATGTTTTCAATATACTCGGATGCTACCATATGCGGTTTCAGCTGCAAAAAAAAGAAAAACAAAGAACAGGTCATATTATATTTGTGTAACGTACATCCTATATGCAAAAGAAACACTCATCTCGGAAGCGCACCGTTTTGATTTTGGAATAGGGAGAAGAAAGGAAGAACAATTAGCCATTTGCCATTATAGGAAGTTTTTTTTTCTTTTCTAGCAGGCAAAAAGATGAGTAGGTTACAAGCGGGCAATATGACGCACAACAATGTTAATCCTCCCCGCCCTTCAAGCCGACAACAGCCTCTTGCTATTGTCCACTGATGCAGCCTCGAATATGCGTTACCTTCTATTCTACTACGTAAAAAAAAAAAAAAAAAAAAAAATATTTTCACCAAAGCTGTTTAAAAATCGCCCATAGTAATTTAATATTTAGAGACGAAAATCAACAGTGTAATTGACCAAAGGTTGTACTTCGTATTATTTATGTTGTTCCTGTATATATATAATTTTTTTTTCTTTTTTTTTTTTTTTCACAATTTAGCTACAGGGGAACAAAATACAAACAAAGAAAAACAACTACTGTAAAAATTAAGGTTGAATAAGGTAAATTGGATTCCTATTCTAGATTTATTTTTTAAGGGTGACCAAGAAAAAAAACTAAATCAACTTGTTTTCGTGCTCATAATATTAATAGTACACTGTAAATTTTATTACTATTTTTTTTATTATTATTTAACTAGAGCTACGTAATAATATAGTCGATTACTCTAACCCCTAATCTGAAGTCTTTTACACCAATGTTCCATTTTATATAGCTGCAAACAGTTTTATCTTTATGGTTAGGAGTTTATATTTATATTAAATGCATGGAATTGCCCATAGTAAAGTGTAATTTTTTTTTTCTCTAACGAAACCAATTTGGAAGTAAGACACCAAAATGAGACACCAAAATGAGACACCAAAATGAGACCACACCAAAGTGAGACCACACCAAGGTGAGACCACCAGAATGAGACCCACAACAACGTTGTTTTATTCTGTTTGATGTTGTTCCAAACCTCAACTGAATCTAGACTTTCATTTAAATCCTGATCCTTTGTTATTTTTTTCTAGTTTGTTTTGTCAGTTCCGTTGTAGTATATAGGGGACTAGAACCCCGATTTATTATATAAACTTCTGCTTGAGCCTGAATATAATATTTGTTGCAAACAAACAAGTTTTACTCCTCATCGCAATGTGGTATCCGTCCATGTATTTTCATGTTAACCAGAATAACTCATCAAAATAGTAAAAACAAACAAATCTTGAAAACAAAGGCAAAACTACAAATCATATACTCTCTTTTTTTCCCTTTCCCATTCCAAATATCCTCAATCTTGTTTGTTTAATGCTTCAATTTCAGCTTTTTCATCTTCATATAGAGCTATTGCTTTTGGTGTCTCCTCTTTCTCCGTCTTTTCGCCGCCTAGTTTTGCTATTGTTGTTCTTTCTTCATCAACAACAGTTGTATTGGTTGCAGCCATCTCCTGTTCAAATATATTTTTCTCGCCTTTATCTTTCTCTTCGTCATTAAAAAATTCAGCTTCGTTTTCTACTATTTTATCTCTTTGCATTTGTGATCCGCCTTTTGTATCTATTGCATCTGGCATATCTTCATCTATGTCCCCTAGATCCTCCTTGTCCATCGGAACATCATGCATTTGAACTGAAGGTGCATGTTTTGTATGATCTAGATTTGCAACCACTTGAGTCAACAATTTATCCAAGTATTCTTTTGAGTTTGCATTATTCATGTTTGAAGATCGTACGTCCAACTCATACACTGGGGCGTAATACTCATAATATCCATTATAAGGTAGCTCTTTCGGTAGTATTACTCCATTGCATATACCCGTCTCAAATGCCCATGTCCTTGCAACGTTTCGAATCGTATAACCACCTCCACCTAACACAATCATCGGTAACCCCAAGGATCGTACAAAATTAACGCAATTGGCGTGTCCTCTCATTGATAAATTGAAGGGGCCCAATCTGTCCCCGCTCAACGAGTCGCCACCACACTGTAAAACTATTGCTGATGGTTGGTACCAATCGACAATTCTTTGAATAATTGGTTCAAAAATTGATTTATACGAAGCATCGTCTATACCATCTCTCAAGGGAACATTTACTGAATGGTATTTCCCCTTACCAATTCCAATATCTCCAACATTCCCCGTTCCTGGAAAAAACTCACCAAATTTGTGGAAAGAACAAGTCATAACTCGGTCACTGGTGTAAAATGCTTCTTCAACACCATCGCCATGATGAACATCAGTATCAATATATAATACTCTTGGATGTTTTCGAAGTAGTTCTATTATTGCCAATACAATATCATTTGTGTAACAAAACCCACTCGCTTCAGACTTCTTAGCATGATGTAACCCACCAGCATAATTTATAACAATATCGGCACTTCCGTTATTCAACCTCGCTGCTCCTTCCATTGACCCACCACATGATATCTTACAAAATTCCCCCAACCCGTCAAATACAGGACAATCTTCTCCAACATTAAAAATCTGGGCTTCACGCGGAAACAAGTGCAAATTATCAGGTGTAACTCGATCAATAAAATCTATATACTCATCACTATGAAACTGTGTCAATTCCAAATTGGTCGCTGGCTCGGCTCGGTATATTTCCATTTTCTTGTATAGTTCATAGTTCATTATTAGTGAGTGGGTCATTCTTATTCGATGAGGTTTCATGCAATGTCCCGTTCCATAGAAATAATTACCTACATCTTGGTCGTAGAAATACGCCACTCGTCTCTTTTGAGGCAGAACTTTTATCTCATCAAACGGTTGTTCGACATACATAACTAAATAGATCTTCTAAATATATTCGATAGTGCTTGCTAAATATCTTTTCGGAACAATAACTCACTAAAAGTATAGTGGTACTAGCCGTTTGACGTTGACGTTAAACGTTGACGTTGACGTTGACGTTTATCGTGAAATCGGACTTTAACAAGATAGTTGCATTGCTCGATTGAAATGAAAAAAAAATGTGTAGCAGGATTTTGACAGAGAAAAGGAAAAGAGAAAAAAAAAAAAAGGATAAACGCCAGAACATTGTGATGATGATGATGATGATGATGATGATGGGGTGGGTGATGGTGGGTACCAAATCTTATTTCTACATAGACAATTTTTCTCTATATTCTTCTTTCTTTTTTGTTTTTAATCATTACTTCAGCCATAAGTCTTATAAGCCTACTGTTGTTTCTTGCCAGCTCTTCCACACTCGTCTATTTTATAGACTCCAAACAAATATGCCAATCTGGTAACCACTAGATCTATAGCCATTGCAATTGAATCCCTTGCTAAATCAACTTTCGACCCGTCGACTTCTTTCCAAGTCACGGATATTTCTTTCATCTTTATACCTTGCAATTCACCTAGTAACAACACTTCCACATCGAAGATCCATCTCTCTGTATGCATATGAGGAAAGATTTTGGCAACCGCTTGTGAATTAAACATTTTGAATCCACATTGTGTATCTTGAATCTTTCTTATTCCAAAAATGAAAACCAAAGCATGGAGTCCGTACATGAGAAAATTCCTTATCAATGATCTATTGACAACTGCGTCCGTGTTCACCATATGTGCTCTTGATCCAATGGCTATAGCAGGTTCATTTGAAAACTGTTTCAAATAATTTATCAAATGCTTGATATCTGAGAATTGTGTTGCTCCATCAGCATCGGCAAATAATGCATACTTGCCTTGAGAATGTAAAAGACCATGCGTCACTGCACCTCCTTTACCTCTATTCTTCTCCAATTGAACTACTTTCATTACGTGTGGCTTCAATTTGTATTCGTTTGCCACCTTAATTGCAAAGTTCGATGTACCATCACTGGATCCATCATCGACTACTATTATTTCATATTTTCCACCATGGTGCTCTTCAAGGTACACAATTGCTTCATCCAACATTCTCTTTAACCTAGAAACCTCATTATAACAAGGTATAATAATACTAATATCAATATTACCACTAGATGCGTTTGTTGGGCTGATTATTGGTGGTAAACTGTGTTTTCTTTCAAGACCCAAATTTTCACCTCCATCGTTTGTTCTATAGATTGACTCACTAGGTAGGTGTAACCGTGGCGTATGGGAAAAAAATACTACTGTGCTATACGTTAATATCGATAGGACAATGATCGCTCCAAGAGCGTAACATAGCACAATCGGCTGAAAAATGTCAGGTATTGAAGACTCGCCAAACATGGCTGGGTTTGAAGTGTGAAAATAAAAAAAAAATGAATCGGAAAATTGATATTCCGTGAATACTAAAGGAAAATAAATTGAAAAAAAAAAAAAAAAGTGCCAAAAATGAAAGCACATCACGTGGGACGTGCCATTGTAATGTAAAACTAAGGTCATTGTTGGTATAAGACTCACAAAGTGTGTTGTTCACTTTCTGAGCCCTTGTCTACCTACATCTTTTTTTTCAATGTATGGCCCTTGAAAAAGTAAAGTTGGTTTCAATTAGCAAAATCTGAAACCAATTTTGCATATCTTACCCCAAACGGGGAGATGAGATGCGCAAATTTTTATATTCATCATTAGACCTAATTTATAGCAAGCAGTACTTTAATCAGCTCTCCCGTCTTAGCGAGTTCCCATATTCTTTGATTTTTTTTCTACCCTCCTCATTATACATCTGCTATTATCCATTAAATCCCTCACCTCACATACAATCAATGGACCTTATATCGTGAGCTGATTGCAAAAAATCTGCGATTTTCTATTTTCTGGTAGCATAAAAATTAAACCTTTAAATACCAGACCACCATGAATAAAACCCAAAACTTCCCCAGTCTAGAAAGTACTTATCTTTTGATTATCTTTACTCTTTATTCTGACATTGGCGATATAAAATGGACATTTATCAGATTTTCATCCCAAACTAGACAGTTTTTTAAAAAACTCTTTTCCTCAGTAAGAGACCATTTTGGAAACGTCAAGGTGAGAGAGTTACATATCCTGTTTAACAAATAATACATAATAGTTACAGAACACACACACACACACACACACACACACACACACACACACACAAACAAACAAACAAACAAACAAACAATACATGCAGCAATGGTGGAGGTGAGGTGAAACTTGTCTTACAAGGCCCCAAATTACCCCGCTAATTTCGTGACTCGATTGTTAATGACCCTGGAATTGTTCAAAAATATCTCAACCAATTCTTCTAATCGAAAATTATCAGTGCCTGAAGTGATCTTATCAATAGCACTAAAAATCTCGAGCGCGTCAACCTCCATTTCAATCTCATACTTGGTTTCATGGTTGACTATTTTCTTACCGGATTTTTGATTCTTGAATTCTTTAGGCACGAGTACTCTAGTCAAGTCAAATCGTGAAATTGTTGGCGTATGAGTCCATGAAGTTCTCTTTTTCTCGCGAGTTAATTGTGGTGGTGCATATTTGGTAATTATGGATTCTATATTTGCTTCTGGTACAGGAGTTTCTAACGAGAGTGAAAGTCGGAGATCATACATCGACTTGGGATCATGGATATACAAGTCTCCAATACGATCTTTTTGAATTGCCGTGAATCGCGCAGGTTTGAGTAAATTGTCTTTGGAAACACGCACTCTTCGCAACTGTTCATTTTTACTACCAATCTGATAAAATGAATCTGTTTGGTCCGATTCCAAAATATTAAATTTCCGTTTAGGCGTATTCAGTGCCATTTGGGGACCCTTTAGTTTTTCATCCTGATGTTGCCTTTCTAGTTCTTCAAACAATTTGCGAACATCGTTCCATGCAATTTCTTCAACTTCCATGTCAAATTTTATATTTGATGGATTATTGTAAATACACTCAGTGGTTACATTCAAGTTCAAACGGTTCCCCGTTCGTTTATCTATAATTTTACCAAATTTCAATTCTAGCTCAACGTTTTTGCGGTTATGATCTTCAATGTTGGCAAAGTTGGCATAAATCCACTCAGCTATTGTCCTGGTTACTGAACTAGGTGGCATGACTCCGGTTATACTACACTGCAAATCGACATATCTGGTTGTAGTGTGGTTGAATACCGGTTTCAGGGATATCTTGGTTGTCGGTGTCATAGCACTTCCACCACCAACTTCATCTGGTTGCTGTTGCCAATTCTGTTGTTCATGCGGAGGAAACCATCTTTGTGCCCAAATGGGTGGTGTATCGTAACGCTTTGGCTTTCGTGACTGTTTTAGTTTTTGTATCTTGGTTAAGTCATCGTCGTCAGCATCATAATTATTGTTATTATTGTTGGTGTTGTTATTGTTGTTATTGTTATTGTTATTGTTGCTATTTTCATTAACGGCTGTTACCAAGGACTCGTTGTGTTGGATTTTAGTGGATTCTTGATTCAGCGTAGTTGTTTCTCCTCGTTTGGTCACTATTTCTTCCTCTTTGCTCATGGACAAATCTGAGTCTGTATCATTATTGATATTAGCTATACTATTACGTTTTGAGCTGGGTGCTCCACGATTTGCGCTTATTGGGGCAGGTTTTTCATTCAAACTAGGTGAACCCATTGCACTAGATGGTTTCTTAAACTGGATATGTCCACTAGGGCTCATCTGCTGCTGCTGCTGCTGCTGCTGAAATGGCTCCTGTACTTCCAGCTGGTCTTCCTCATTTCCCGCATTTCCTGTTTTATCCTGTACTGAGTCATTTAGCATATTTGTGATACTGTGTCTCTGATGAACAGACTGAATAGATGACCTTGTCGAAGAAGGTGTCGGTTGAGGTGACGTGTTTGCAAGATGAACAGATTGTTGTGTCGGGGCTATTTTGGTAGTCGGCGACACTAACTGTTGCGTATCATTTTGATCCTGAGATGGTGGAGAATCATCATTCAAAATCGACCCTACATTCATTGCAACTATGCAATTGACATGGGTTAAAACTTTACTAAAGTTGTATTCTTTTCAGTTTTTTTATTGTTTTCCTCTGGGTTTATTAAATCTTTTTTCTGCTGGTGAGCATATTCTCGCTCGCTTAGGCTTTGGAATTATGGCCACTGAAAAATTTGCACTTTTTTGAACAAACAGGAAAAACAAGAGAGAACAAACAGGAAAAGTCGGGGACAGACACACACACCCCCACCAAACTTATGCAGTTGAAAAAATATTGTTTCTACATATACACTGTTTTTACATATACACACACCACACACACTTCTATTTATTTATGTATTGATTTAATTTTTTTTTTACTTTAGTTCAAGTTCTTTTTCAAGCGTGCGGCAACATCATCAATAAATTCCTCGGTGGTAACATAACTAGACCTATCGGTTTTCCCCTGGGCCAAGGCTAGATCTTTTGTCATTTTTCCATCGATTGCCACGGTATCGATAACCGCCTTTTCCAACTCCTTTGCAAAATTAACTACATCAGGAGTATTATCTAGATTACCTCTTTGTATTAAACCTCTAGTCCATGCAAAGATAGAAGCTATCGAGTTGGTTGATGTCTCTTTACCTTGTTGGTGCTGTCTATAATGTCTTGTGACAGTACCATGAGCGGCTTCCGATTCAAAGGCTTTTCCATCTGGGGTTACCAATACCGAGGTCATTAAACCAAGGGAACCAAACCCTTGAGCAACGATATCTGACTGCACGTCTCCGTCGTAATTCTTCATTGCTATGATATAACCACCTTTCGATTTTAACATTTGTGCAACCATATCATCAATTAATCTGTGTTCGTACCAAATGCCGAGTTTATCCATTTCTTGCTTATACTTGGTAGCATACAAGTTTTCAAAAATGTCCTTGAATCTTCCATCGTATTTTTTCAATATGGTATTCTTGGTAGATGAGAACAAGTTCAATTTCCGATCAATGGCTAATTGGAAGGAGCTTTCTGCAAAATCGGTGATTGACTTGTCTGTATTGTACATTGACAATGCAACACCAGCCGAGTCGAATTTATATACGGGATACTCGACGACTTCGTCGCTACCTTGTGGTTTGAATACCAATTTCAACTCTCCAGCCGATGGTACAATAATGTCGGTAGCCTTATATTGATCGCCAAATGCGTGTCTTCCTATAATGATAGGTTTTTCCCAACTGGGAACAATTCTTGGGATATTATCAATCACAATAGGTTCTCTGAAAACAGTACCGCCGAGGATATTTCTCAAAGTACCATTTGGTGAAAGCCACATTTTCTTCAAGTGAAACTCTTCAACTCTTTGTTCGTCGGGGGTTATTGTAGCACACTTGATACCTACACCATATTTCAAAATGGCATTAGCAGCATCTACAGTTACTTGGTCTTCTGTCTTGTCTCTATACTCAATACCCAAATCGTAGTATTTCAAATCGATATCTAGATACGGCAAGATTAACTTATCCTTGATGAATTGCCATATAATACGAGTCATTTCGTCCCCATCCATCTCAACAACTGGGTTTTTGACCTTGATTTTAGGAAATTGAGTTGTCATCGTCGTTATTTAATACAAGTGTGGTTTAAAAGAAAATGGCTTGAACAGAAATACCTTGTTGTAAATAGTTGGATACTTTTTAGATGGAAATAGGTGAATACAATCGAACTTATAAAGCCTCTGGGTCTAAATCGATGAAAGATCGGATATATATATATATATATATAAGATTGCAGAGAAGGACAGAAAAAAAAAAAAGGCCAGGATATTATTTTAAAGCTTAGACGCCGACTCTAAATGAAAAAAATCTGATGCATTAGTAAGTGATGTGGGGTAGCTCAATGTATATGACTTAATAAAACAATGTTTTATACAGTAGTTGCGCACACTCCTTCATTACAAAGGTGGACAAGTAACAGGAAATGGGAAACGGGAAACGTTTCAGTTGGATAAAACTGCCATGCTTAGGCTACCTCATTCCCAAATACACTTTGTTATTATTGGAAAACTAAACAACAAATGTTAAATTTTACACTTTTGTATACTCCGGGACTATATTTTTTGAAAACTCCGGAGATGATATGATTTTTTTTTTTTTTTTACTATAGTTTTCGGAAAAAGTTGAAATTTTCTCGGATCTTATCCGATCAAGAATATAGATGGCAGGATAAGTATTTTTAAAGGAAGTAAGCTCTTTGCTATATCGGCACTATAGAAAAGACAATAGACTTTTGACATCTAAGCACTAAAATCAAGAGCATCATATACAGTATTGTCTCTCTCTTTCTTGCTCTTTTTTTCTCTCTCTCTCTTTCTCTCTCTCCACAATCCTATGCTACTTAAACATCTCGCCTATATAAAAACATCCAAATTTAGTCTATTGTTTGAAAAAAATCTTCAAACCTTTACAGCATAAATAAAACAAAAAAAAGAACACCTTATTAATAATGAATCGTTTATTGGTTTGAAGTTTTACCCGATGAAGAAGAGATTGGATAGTTGAACTAACTGGTGCGAGAGAACCAATAGGAAAATAACGAGTTAACAGTTTTTAAAGTCATGCAGTATCAAGCATCTCACTGGCTTTTTTTAATGATTAACAGAAAAATTGTTGTTAAAAACTATGCATCAGGAACAAACTAGGAGGGGACTTCTCTCAGCTATACTTATTATGTTAAATTGAATATAATTTAATAGGGACAACAAATGCCGACAATGATACCGAAACTGGTAAGTCAATAAACCGATTGAACTTACCCCTTTTGGATTAAAATCACACAAGTAAAATACTCGAGTTTCAACTTGCGACATCCAAAAAAATTTGACTCCTTTTCTTTGATGATTATTATATATAAGAGAGAAACAAAGCTAATAGGAGTCTATGTAGTTTTTGTAAAATGTTACAATAATGAATTTCTCTTTCCGTATTTTTCCTATGAAAACGGAAAAAAAAGTAATGCACTAGAGTGTGAAGAACTAGATTTCAATATACCGACAGTGTGCTCTCCACCATTACCACCATTACAACCATTACAACCACTCTAATCTCATACATATTTTCCCCCTCCTCTTGCCCTTCCCCTTACATGTTACATATATCGAAAAAGTTTGCATAGTCACACCAGAGTATCCTAAAAGAGAATCCCAAAGAAGAATTTGAAAACATTCATTTGGGGACTAAAAAAAAAAAAAATAAACGAAAAGATGAAAAAAATCAACAACTTGATTTTTATCAATTTTTCGCCTCCACATTACAATTTTTTTGTATATACCCAAAATTAAATTTGGTGATATGTGTAAGTTGATTTATGGCTGGTGAGAGTTTCACCAAGATCAAGTTGTATTTCTAAAATTTTTAAAACAACTCTAAGAAACAGAAAAACCGATTTTTTCTATAGATTTTATAGGTTGTAGTACTCTTATTGGGAATGTCCTTTTCTTTTGGTTTTTTGTTGTATGTTTAATGTTGGTATGTTGATTGTTCGTTTATGTAGTTGATTGCCCGTGTAAAATAAGGTTTCTCAAAAAAATACTACTTGTCTGATGATTTTTCAAACTTTTTTACACATTACTTGTTTAGCAGGGAAAAACTTTCAATCTATGGCCAAATGTCGAACGAAAACCAACCTTCACCAGAGTGGTTTATAGAGAAACCATGTCAAGAATCACCTGGTGGTGGTGGCGGCGATAAAACAAGGGTTAAAAATAATCCAGATTGTTCACAACTGGTGCAGGGATTATCATTTCTGTTGAAAGAAAGTCGACCCTCTTTCTCACAACATGAAAACTCATCACATTTGAGACCTTCGCATTTGAGACCTTCGCATTTGAAGCCATCTCGGTCTTTTGATACTCATTATACGACTCCTTTGTCAGCAAGGTCAAATGATAAAAAATTTAGTCTTACTGTACCATCAACTCCAATGGTGTTGGACAATTGCGAGCATTCCTCACTCACAATCAAGCCATCATTGGCAAAGTTGGATATAAGATCTCAAACCATCAAAGGAACAAACTTACTCAACTCAACTATTTTGAAACGACATAGAGTCAATAAAGGAGGTCTCGATGATGATAATACCAACGCTAGTGACAATGAGGCTATCTCTTTATGGACTTCCAAAACCAATGACTCCTATGCATCGCAACTACTTGCCTCATCCATACATCAGCCAATCACACAAACAATCCGAGACTTTTATAACGATTTTACAACTATAGATTGGACTAAAGCATATTTAAATGGGAACCAATTCAATTACTCTTTGGAAAAAAGTAAATGGTTTGATGAAAATTGGCACAGGGAGAAGAAAGATAACTTTAAGGATGATGAATCGGTAGATCAAAGTCAAAAGATCCCTTTTTGGCAAAAACAATATTTTATCTTGGGTAAATGGATACTCATTATACTTATCGCTTTATTTTTTGCAGTAATAGCCTATGTTATCGACAAATTTGAATTGCTTTTGGTTGGTGCAAAGTATGGCTATTGCCAGACAAATTGGTTTGCTAGTCAAGTTTCTTGTTGTGCAAGTGTTAACCATAAGCATATGATCCAAGGACAACTGCAATTAAAGCAACTACAACGTTTTACTTCATTCTCAGAGGAGCCTTGTCTCCAGTGGATTAATTGGTCACATTTTTTTCAAAATCTTTGGATTTCTCAGTTTATCAGATTGGACTATGTCATTTACGTTGCCTTATCGATTGCTTTAGCATTATCGGCATGTTTGATTACATTATCTACCAAAATTACAGGTGGTGCAATGGATGACGAGACTGCTTCACCAGCTCCGGCTTTTTCTTCTTCTTCTTCTTCTTCTCCTCCTCCTCCTCCTTCTTCTTCTTTTCCTCCTCCTCCTCCCCCTCCTCCTACTCTTCCTGCTTTGACAACAGACACGGCTACATCCTCCAAACACGAGCACAATCGTATAAAGCCAAGAGTTATTTACACTGCAAATGGATCTGGTGTGCCTGAAGTTAAGACTATATTATCCGGATTTGTTATACGTCGGTTTTTAGGGGCTTATACTTTGGTATCCAAGACTATAGCATTGATTCTTGCTATTGCATCAGGTATGGCATTAGGTAAGGAAGGACCATACGTTCATTTGGCTACTTGTGTTGGAAATATCACCTCGAGATATTTTCCATTCATTTATAATAATGATTTGTTTGAAAAGCAAATCTTATCAGCTAGTGCATCCGCTGGTGTGGCCTTGGCATTTGGATCTCCCTTGGGTGGAGTTTTGTTCATATTGGAGGAAATTAACAATTATTTACCAAGCCATCAATTATTTCAAGTGTTTTTTTGTGCAATCATTTCAACATTGTTTCTAAAGTTTATGAACCCGTACGGTACAGGGCAAACGGTTTTATTTGAATTAAAGTATCATTCAGATTGGAACCCAATGGAATTGTTATTTTTTGTGTTTATTGGGATCTCCGGTGGTGTTTTTGGTGCTGCGTTTATCAAGTTTGCTATTTGGTGGCCCAAGAAGTTTAGAACTTTAAAATATATCAAAAACAATCCATTGTTTGAAGTGTTTCTTGTTTCTGCATTAACTGGCCTAGTTACTTTTTGGAACCCTTACACCAAGCAGGCCTCAGCGGAATTGGTTCTAGATTTGGCAACTTCATGTTCTGAAAATGAATTGGATAGATCTCTTTGCCCAAGTACCAAAGAGCAGTTTGTAAATGAACTTGGCACATTGTTAGTTGCCTTTATCGTTAAAGTAGTGTTGACTTTTATTACCTTTGGATTGAAATTACCGTGCGGTATATATGTACCCTCAATGGTAGCAGGTGCATTATATGGACGCATTTTTGCAATGTTGATCCATTACTTTGGGTTAATCTATAGAGATCCAAATTCAAACTTGGAAGGTTTTATGTGTATGCCAAACTCGATAGACTGTGTTGATATGGGGATTTATGCTATGATTTCAGCAGGCGCATTCATGGCTGGTGTAACAAGAATGAACATCACTATTGTCACTATCCTATTTGAATTAACGTCGTCATATACTTATGTCTTGCCCATTTCCATTGCTATAGCGGTTGCTAATTGGTCCGGAGGGTTACTAGAGAAGAACTCGCTTTACGAATCGTTACTCATAAGTAATGATTATCCTTTTATGTCACCCGAAACGGAACCAATTGATCCTAGAGTAGGTGCCGTTGACATAATTAGCAACGATTTGTTGCCCCCACAGGCAAAAAAAACAGCCACGGTTACAGTAAAGAATTTGAATTTGCATACTAAAATTTATATTGATCTAACCGAGCTGAACTTGGTACCTATTGAAGTGTTGCAACAAAAGTTGGGCATGCTTGCTGATAGGTGTTTGCTAGATGGTTGTATACCCTTGATCAAAAATCAAGTTTGCGTAGGGTTGATTTATTTCTCAGAGTTGGAAATATGTCTTGATAGAATTTGTTCATTTGTTCAAGAATATGGATTGAGAAGTGACGATATTCATTGTAAAATGATTGAAAATGGTGAGACTAGAAATAGAAAGAAAGTTGTTTCTGTTCGTGAACAGCAACAGGACTATTTTAGCTATGGCTCTTTTGTGGAAGAAGAAGAGGAGGAGGAGGAGGAGGAGGAAGAAGAAGAAATCAACTGTATTCTTGATGAACTCACAGACTTAACCATGTATGTGGATACCAAGCCCATCTTTGTAAATCATGATAGTCAATTATCTTTTGCACATTTGATTTTCGATAGGATTGGTAACAGAGTAGTGGTTTTGTTGAAGGAAGGGAAGTATTATGGAGTATTGCATAAAAAAGTATTGATTGATTATCTACGTCGAACTGATTCTGGGACATAACAAATAGAAGAAGCAAAAAAAAAAAAAAAAGATACAAGAACATATTGTCTATAAAAGATATATTTAGTTAAACTTGATCTTTAATAATTATTCTTAATTTACAGCAAACGTACAAGTCAATTATGATAGACTTGAATAGTTGTAAATTTCTAGGTAAAGTTTGATAATTGAGATATTTCATTGATGGAACATCATACCGTTTTAAGAGCTCGTCCCCTGGTATTATTACTGGTATATTTTGCAACTTTTTCAATTCAATAGAGTCGAATCTATAATTTTCGAATTTTCGCCATTGTTCTTGGTAGGTATCGAAACTTGCATATAAATATGTGATTATGATCATGAATGGTGGATTATCAAGTACATTGAATTTCATGACAAATTGTGACATAAAATGAACCAAGGACTCGTTTAACTCCGGCGAATGATGAAAGAACTGTAGTAGCAATTTAAGAAAAGAATTGGAGAATGGTAACTTTGCGTCAAATCGGTTTGCCTTTATTGCGGAGGAATGTTGCATAATGATTTGCTTGTATCGTGAGGACACTATGTTGGTATTATTTTCGACTATATTCATTGTTTGTGTAGCCACATTTGACATTGCTTGGAGTGTCTGGTTTGTTGAATGATCCTGGATACCTAGTAGTTCGATTAGTGCAGGATCTCGTTTTTCCATTATAAAAGTTAAATGATTCAACAATTGATTCAAATGCAACTGTCTTTTTTCGAATTTACAAATCATGTATTTCAACATTGCTTCGTTTGTTATAAATTGTTGTAAAATTTCCGGGGTGTCGATTTCTTGAAAAGCTGTGAGGATTGAATTGACTAATTTGTCGACATCAATACGATAATTACTCATTGCATATTCAAATCTTTTTATAAATATTTCATTATAGTAAACATGTCGGATATCAGTACTACAAAATTCCATTGTGGGTAATAATAGTCTTGTAAGGATTTTCTGATTTTCTGGATCAGAGTTATTATTCAGCTGGAATAAATTTGCATAATACAATTTCAAGAAATGTTCAATTAAGTCAGTTCTGTTCATGAGGTATTCTTCTAATTCTGGGGATTTTTTAGTCAAGTGATTTAATTTGACCCAGTTTGAACAGCATTCTTCTTGATACTGGTGGTTATAAAGAAGCATCGATTTCAAAATGTTGAAAATCGGTAATTTATCGTCATATGATGCTAGTTGGTTCACATAATTTGTAAAGTTAGACGCAAGCAAACTAGTGTTTAGTTGATCTATAGGTAACCAGATTTGGAAAATTTGAAGTGGAAAGTCTTGACAAAACTTCAAAGTCTCTGTAATGAATCGATGAAGATAAGTGAGTTTGTATCCGATTATCTGATACTGATGTTGGTAAGGCTGAGTAAATGTAAATAAATGATACCCCAAAATTTCACCAATTGCAATAACATCATACTCTGTATCTTGGCATTTTTCTCCAGCTTCACGCAATTTCAATGCGAATTCTAAAAGCAACTTCATAAAATGACTAATCTGTTCAAACAAATCCAAATCACTAGTTTCTAAGCCAGCTATTTCATGATAAAAACCATGGTGGATCATAATTGAAATATAGTCATTTTTTGACTTTTGATTCAGACTACCTGCTAGCTCTTCAATTTTGGCCAAGTCTCTTAATTTCAAGACCAAATCATCTATGTAATGTTTCCTTTCTAACAATGATGCATTCGGTGTTTCATACTATAAAAAAAAAGGGAACAAAAAGGTATCTTCCATGTTAATAATAACAAATCCTCTTTCATTTCTAAAACCGCTTTAGTCTTAAGCGGTATTTTTTATCTTTTTTTTTTTTTTTTGCAAAGTAAGTGGCTACACATACATTTCTACGATATTCTTCAATTGGTTTCATTAGTCGGTCTAGATAGAATTGGGAGTAATGTCTACCATATTGAGATTGTTGAGGGGTAGGTGAACGTTTATCTTTAAAGAATAGAGCTTCTATTCTTCCCATTAGGTTGAAGGTATCGTTGGCTACTGTTGATATGCTCATGTTTAAAGGTATGATTTATTTATTTGTTTCTTTTCGGAAAATTTGTTATCGAGGTTGCAAAATAAATGTTCCAAAATTATACAGTTGGTAGCGGATGGTAGTTTATAGGTTGACAGGGTTACCCACAATAAAAAGGGGTAGAGTTTAGTGACACCTGCAGCATTCAATTTCACACGGGTTTAGTTTGTTTCAGATCAAAGTTTCATATTCAAGTAATCCATGCAACACTATCGAGCGACACTATCGAGCAGAGCGAGATAGTGGAGTACATTGATTAATGACACTATCTAACGACACTATCGAGCAGAGCGAGATAGTGGAGCACATTGATTAATGACTATCTCGCTCTGCTCAATAGTGTCGTTAGATAGTGGAGCACACGGGTTTGATAGTGTTGTAACAAGCCACTGAGTGCTACTCCACTATCTCGCTTCGCTCGATAGTAGTATCTCGCTCTACTCAATAGTGTCGCGCGCAAGAATAAAATAGCTATTAATACACTTATCCTACACACCTAATATCCTCTTTTTTTTGTTTCAGCTAGTGTTTGTAAACTTGTTGAAACAGGTCAGCTAATTGATAAAAACAAATTTACAAATTACTATAAATCTACAAGAAAAAGATACATTTTAGAAAATAATACAAAGAAAAAAGGGACACTGCAAGTTTCTTTATGATGTATACATATAATAAGTTTGGTTCAAGAACTTCAACCACCCCATCAAACTCACTGGTATCCAAACCAACTGTTTCTCGTATATCATCACGGCAAAACTCTAAACACAAGTCATTTGAGAAGGATAGGGAAAGGGACAAGGAAAAGGAAAAGGAGAAGGATAAGGATAAGGAAAAGGAGAAGGAAAAGCTGGAAAGAGAGAGAAAAAATGAAACAATAGGTACAGATACCACCACCACCACCACCACACAACAAATCAACTATACCAACCATTACATTCACACAGGTGAGTATTCGACTAAATTCATACGCAATGTGGCAAACCCACTAGATGGGTATCCCAAACTAGATAAATTGCACCAACTAAAACGAAACCAAATACTCAAACATGCAACAAAGGCTTATGGTGTACGTTGCTCAACAGAGAAAATAGTACCAACAGTCAACAACTGGATCGATAGATATAATTTAAAATTTGATGTTATAATGATAGGTGCTTTGGCCGATAATCAACTTATTCTTCCTGTGTTGAACAAACTACCCATCTACAAATTATGCTCAAAACCAGGTTTTCTTTTCATCTGGTCAACTACTCAAAAAATTCAAGAATTAACTAAACTACTCAACAATGAAAATTTTAACAAGAAATTTAGAAGATCTGAAGAACTCATATTCTTACCTGTTGATGATAAATCACCATACTATCCAAAACAAACAGATTCTGCATTTGAAAAATCCATTTTAAAGAAACAACAATGGCATTGTTGGATGTGTATCACGGGAACAGTTAGGCGTTCTTCAGATAACGATTTAATTCATTGCAATATAGATACTGACCTACAAATCGAATCTCCAGGTTCAAATGGCACCTCTCCTGCTTCGCCGCAGGGACGAAATGCGTGTCCCGAACAAATCTATAAAGTTGCTGAAAATTTCTCCAATTCAAATAGAAGATTACACTTGATTCCTTCACATTTGGGATTCGATACTCACATCAAGTTGAGACCAGGTTGGGTTATTATGGGTCCCGATGTATGGATCAACAATTTTGACCCACAAAAGTATTATGAGGAGTTGGGTAACAAGTCATTTGTTAAATACAAACAAGTCAATGCTGCAGGGGGTAGTAATTGTATATCAACACAATATTTGGTTCCTCAATCTAATGAGATTGAAGATTTGAGACCTAAAAGTCCAATCATAACCACAAAGAGTGGTTGAATAATCAAAGAGAGAAAGAGATCAAAAACAAAAATAAATAAATAAAGGAAAAATCTTCTCTAGTATGCTAAGTTTCAATGAAATCCTTGAGAAAAATCAACATTTTGAGTTAGTATAAATGAATCGTTAAGATGATAAGCAAAATAATTTGTATATCAGATATTTTGATGAATGTTGGAAAAAAAGGAAGTTATCAACATAGTTTTAGAACTCTGAGTGAGCTGAGTTAAAGGTTTTCATCATAAACAAAATAAATAGCTAAGCAACTACTATTAAGAACACATACTCTTTAAACTGTCTAGCTTAACAGTGCTAAAAGAAAAGAAAAAGTATCGATGAGTTTGAAAAAAAAAAAATGAAAAAATGAAAAATGAAAAATGTTTTTCTTCTATGGAAACATCCAGAGGAGTGTGCGAACTAACATAGTAATTTAATAAATTAATTTTTTTATCGAGCATATAAAAACTATACATATTAAACAAAGCTAATCTCACAAAATTAATTAAGCAATAAGACTCTTCATTATCAAGAAAACCTCCTTTACTGAAGCTAAAACTTGAAAAAAAAAAAACAGAGAATACTTGAAAAACAAAAACAAAAAAGAGTTAAAACTCCAAACTTACAAGAATAACAAGGCAACCATGTAGCCGAATGAGGCACCAGCAGCTAAAGCGACACCTTGGGCAGTGAAAGTAGTGGTGTTTGTAGTTTGGGTTCCAGTTTGGGTTCCAGTTCCAGTCTCTTGTGATGTGGTGGTGTTATGGTGAGCAGTAGCATTGGTAGCGGTATGAGGTGTAGTAGTATTATGAACAGTTGTAGTATCGGGTTGCTCGGTAGTAGTTTCCTGAGTAGTAGTATCCTGAGCAGTAGTTTGCTCGGTTCCTGTACCTGTACCTGTACCTGTACCTGCACCTCCAGTTTGATCTTCGGTCACAGTAACAGTTGCCTGTCCTGTTGGTTCAGGTGCTGGTGCCGGGGCTGGTTCAGGGGCTGGCGCTGGTTCAGGGGCTGGTGCTGGTGCCGGGGCTGGTGCTGGTGCTGGTGATGGCTCTCCGATAACCTGAGTGCTAGTGAGTGGTATAAGAATTGTAGTTTGAGCCAAGATTGTACTAGCAGATAAAGCGATTTGAATTAAAGTAGTGGACCTCATTATTCTTTTTTTTTTCTTCTTTTCTTTTGGTTTGGTTAAACCTTAGTCTTATCTCCAAAGTTGAGAAAAAAAAAAGAAGCAATACTTGCAAATATTCGCCATTTTATTCTTTCAAGAAATGTAGTGGCATATATGTTGGACATCCCTTGAAAGTTCCCCCTGTTAAATTGGGAAAGTATAGGAAAATGAAAACTTGAGGTGTCAGAAAAAAAAAAAAAAATAAAGGTTGCAGAATTTTGCAGCCAATACTTAACTACTAGCGCTACATGTCAGGTTTACATGAGAAAGACTCTTAGATGGAGAAAATTACTCGAATTTTATTTTGCCATTAAGTATATTGACACATGAATGAGGCTGTGTTTTAATGCTTATTTTTATAATTGTTTCTAAACTAGTTTCCTACAAAAGTAATACGGCAGCAATATAAGCCAATGATCCAGTTGCCAAAATAGACAGTTGCACTGCATTTTCCTGAGAGTGGACGAGTTGAGCTTTTTTTTTTTTTTTTTTGCCTTTGTTCAATTCGGAAGTGGACTTAGTTACTGGCGTGGGTTGAAGGGGGGGACCGCTCTTTGTATTTTTTTGTCGCGGTAGACGGGTTCGCAATTAATTTTACACCGCTCTTGCCTGCACCTGCGACAGAAGTTCCACCGCTAGTTGCTGTATAGACAGCGCCAGTAGTTCCAGCATTAATAAAACCTAATATTGAAGTTTGATGTTATGGAGCATTACTGACATGACTTTACGCTAAATGCGTGAAATAGAGAATAATTAACAAAAATAAGTGTTTCGCAAGGTGCAAAAAAGAGAAGCAAGAACAGACACCTATCGAGCAGAGTGAGATAGTGGAGCGGCACTGATTAGCCTGTTGTAACGCTATCTCTAATTGCTCGAGTGTGTCGGTGTAGTCAGTACTGCCTCACTATCTCGCTTCGCTCGATAGCGTCGCTTTAAGGAGTGAAGAAAGAAAACCAAAAAAAAAAAAAAAAAACTCCCTACCAAGAGACGGTTTCATTGTTATCATTGTTGTTCCAAATTTAATGTTAAAATGGCCGTATCAGATTACATGCTGGGCCATTTGACACGTGGAAGTGGATAAATGGAGGTAGATGGCTTGTAACAGAGCTTGTAACTACTCGAAAAAAATCCCTTTCTAGATTTCTTCATCAAAAAAAAAAAAAATACAAAAACTGTGTACATGTTTTACTTCAAAAGAAATTCCAATAGAAGTTACCTCTATGGACGTATGCCTCACTTTTTATTGCATCGAGTTTGTCTCTTTAGTAATAGCTTCTTTTCAATGTGGTGGAAAGGTACTTGATCGGAACAGAGATGATATATTGAAACAATTGCTGAGATGAGGGATAGACTCTTCCACAGCAATTGAAATGTAATTGAATGCGATTCGCGCAACTTACAATTATCGGTTCCACCCCTGGGGAGGGAACATCTTGAGTATGCCCCTAGTTGAGCGTATCTATTTTTCTGAAACCTCTTCTCTTTTGAATTGTTATCAAAGTCAATGTTGAACGTGGCTTTTGCACTCTTCGTAACTTACCATAAAACACCTGGAGTCTTGATTGAAAAATCTCATAGAAGAATCTCGAAATTACCTGACATGGAAAAGAGGCATAATTTTTTTTTTTCCTTTGGGAGGTTGATTCCTTGATTCCTCAGTAATTTCTTTATGGAACTGATCTCATCTCACCGACTCAGTGCGCAACCAACTTTCACCATTACCTCATCAACGTTTAAGAAAGTTTAGTCATGTAATTTTCTAGTCAAGGGTAATAAAGCTTAACTATACATATAACACTTTATCTTAACTAAAAATAATAATAATAATACTAAAGAGAGAAAGCCTCATTCTATACATTTTCGTCATTGCTTAGTGTAATACTATCAACCCCTTGTTCAATTTTTTTTTTTGCAAGCGATATATTTTTGAAACGATGAATAAGAAGAAACACGTTCTTGATGAAAATGATGACGATGATTTTGACGACCAACATATTGAAAGTAGATCAGGTAAGAGAATCAAATTAGATTCCTTGTTGGAAGGTTTGCATTTGGATGATGATATGTCCACACATCCTTTCATTAGTCAAAAAGAGAAATGCAAACTTGATTCTCAAGTGCCGCCAACGTTCAACTCAATAATTGATATAGGAGGCATATTCAAGAAATCAAATGTGCCACAATCATACACCTCCTCACAAATGAATTCCTTTATTAATGAGCGGCTTGCTGAACATTTCGAAAAAATGATTACATCGGCAATGAAGATCATTCGATGGTATAATTATAAGTTTTTAATTATTTTGATTTATAAGAAATGGTTTGTTAAACTATTCAACCGTTTCTTGAAAAAGTATAATCTAAAGAATAACTCAAATATTCGGTTATTTTCGAGTTATGATAAAATAGTACGATTGATACCAGAGGGTTTTCTAACGTGGAACGATCTAAAGAGTATAATTTATGAAGAAAACAGATTAGAGATTCAAAGATTACAATTAAAGGAACAGAAACGACAGCTGCAAAAGGATTCAAAGGTGATACAGATGGAGTCTGCTATCTATAAAGACTTGGGATATAATTATTGGGATAACTTGAATTTTGATAAAGATTTGGATATGTTGGAAGCTGACGAAAAACAATCAAAAGTCGAGGTTCTAGATGATGACCCGGACAATGAAGATATAGCAATGGAAACTTAAAAGCGAAAGAATTTATAGACTAAATGGAAGGGATTGATGCAACAAATGAGACACACTGTAAATATTGAGAGGAAGAGGTGGAGGTGGGGGGGGGGCTAGCAAACGCTCAGTACTAAAAGTTTCAGCGCATTGTTTTTGCTTTTTTTTTTCTATCTGTAGTTGAGCCGCATTAAAAGTGGTTTCACGAAAATGGAAAAGAACATCCAGGTCCTGTTGAAAATCTCTACACCACTGCCATTTTACCATCTCACTTTGTCCACAAATTACACGAGTTTGACCTTTATCGGCTATGAACTCTCGTGGTTAAATAACAAACCACTCAAGATCTATAAGGTTAGCCAGACCAATCCACATAGACAGAAAAGTCAATGAGATAACTAGTTTTTTTCTTTTTTTTGGATGACCCATTGAGTATATCTGGTGAAGATATAAAACAACGTAGACTCTAAGATATGTTTTCCCCTTATGTTTAAACTGAGAAGCCCTATTTGTTCTTGTTCCACCTGTGCAGTATTATACTACAAGAGGAACAAAATTCTTTTTTTCTTTTTTCCTTTATTTGTGCTAGGATTTACTGATCTTTTAGATAACAATCCTTGATAATGCGAGATCGAAATTGGAAATAAATTATCCTCCGGCTTTTTTTTCTCCCCCTACTCAATTTTATAAAGCTTGTCATGACGAGTCCGTTCAGCGAGTACACAGTTGACAAAGATTGGCAGAATTGCGACTATGAAATAAAGGAACAGGACAGATTTTTGCCAATTGCAAATGGTATGAGAAACCACTAAAATTTTGAAACCACATAATTTCGAAACCAAATTATTTCGAAACCACATAATCTCGAAACCACTTTCTTCTTTTTTCTCTTTTCTACTACATTTTACTAACAACCAATACAAGTCGGTAGGGTGATGAAACGAGCATTGCCACCTCAAGCAAAGGTTTCAAAGGAGTCCAAAGAGTGCATGCAAGAATGCGTTTCCGAGTTTATTTCCTTCATTACTAGTCAGGCTTCGGATCGCTGCATGCGAGAAAACCGCAAGACCTTGAATGGCGAGGACATACTATGGTCAATGTACACATTGGGGTTTGAGAACTATGCAGAGACACTAAAGATCTATTTGGCAAAATACAGACAGGTATGTTGACAACGGCCAACTTGTGCATGTATGAAACTAACGTATAATCTTTTCTCTTTTTTTTTTCGTTCTCAATTCTTTTCTAGTATGAACAGGAACAAGCCTTGAAGAATCTGCCAAAGAAGAGGAAAAGCAGGGTAAAAAGGGAGGTGGAAGAGAGCCCTNAATGGACGTGAGCCCTGCGGATGCCGCATTGGAGGATAACTCAGTAAAGTTGAATGACGAGATCGAACAGTTGTTATTCCAAGAGCCATCTCAACTAACAAGTGAAGACATTCAAGAACAATTTACTCAAGTATACAACGAGGGATCTTATTTTGGAGAGGACTTGGAACTCTCGCAAAACCAAGCTAACGAAAAATTGCAAAATACAAAAACATTGTCAAGTCTTAATTGAAGCGTTATAAAGCAAGTGGTAGAAAGTGAACTTTCGAGATTTTGAGGGACTCGACTAAATTTCCTAGTCTAGATAGCAATGCGGCGTTCCAAGTTTTGAATAGTTATACTTTTTTTTTTCCTTCTGCAAATCGCTAAATTTCTTTTAGGCAATAACATTGTTCCGATTCAGGAGATTATCCAAGACAGTCTTTTTCACATTGCAGACTCTGTTTATTTCATAGTTTTCAGCTGGTAAACGCATTTCTTTTTTGTGTTGGAAATGAGAATTAGCTATTTTGCTACTAAGGGTGCCAAGATAGGTACAGGTACACACCTGCGTGCCAATATAGGTACAGGTCCACACCTCTGGAAATCAGGCTTAAACCCTTTTTCCTTTTGGATAAGTTGATAAACCCCAATCTTCAATCTTGTAACTCTTTTTCTGAGAGATGCACCTAAATCTGTGTCTTGGGGAAAATCAAGTCCTGTTCCGTTACCAAAATGCAAAAGTACCTAGTATATAGATATATAAATATAGTCGTGCATTTCCGATAAGCAAATTTCGAGATGAGGTTAAGAGATAAAAGAGATTAAAGAGATAAATGGAATCCCATTACTACTTCTAACATAAACACCAAATGTCTATATTCAAACTACCAAATGAACTTGTTCTACGAGTATTAAAGTATCTTAATAATGAGGAAGTAGACAAACTAATCAAAAGTTATAAAACGATTCCCTCGGCGTCTCCAATTATGCTTCTACTATATGAAAGACTATTTGGTGGAACTTTACTTATTGTAAATGGAGAGCCGAGAGTACCTTTTAAACATGATTATGAACTTACCGTAGACTCATTTGAGGACAAAATGATGGACTCAGAAGAGTATGAAAACAAGCTTTTCCAAAAAATTCGACCAAACATTATTGAGTTTAGATTCACCAGGCATCATAGTGATTATAGAAGATATATTAGCGACTTGAGTAGTTTGCTTCACTTGATTGACTCGCCTAATCAACGTATACAAGAGTACTTTGAAAGAAGCTTCCGAATCAATATTCATATTGATTCACATTTGGTATTCATGGAAAATCCCGATTCGTTAAAGTCTATCATAATTCGACTACTCCTAGGATTGAGTAAGCATAGTCTCGCAGGTAAAATAAGGAATTTAACTGTAAAGGCAAGTGAGATTGGGAGTGTTTATGTTGCGCAATGGTCACAGTTGTTCAAATATTTTACAGCTTTAGAATTTCTAGATCTACTGGGAAATCTACTACGAAGTAACTACGAGGAATATTTAGATGTTTGGGGAATGCTGAAGAAATTTCCAGATACATTAACCATGCTAAGTTTTAAAAACAATATGTTGACGTACATCTCAAAGGATTTTTTTATGAATTTACCAAAGAGTTTGAAATACTTGGACATGAATGAAAACGATATCGAAATTATTGAACCATGCGATTTGGGCGATTATGTGCCAAAGTTACAAATTTTGTCTTTGAACTATACAAAATTGTGTGTTTTGAGTCCCAGTATGATTAAAAATTGTCAACTGGGATTTGTGTTGGAGCTTGTATCTACATACTTGTCTGAATCGGATCTTTCAAAATTGACAACGATTGCTAAGGCAAAGGGCTTTAAGATTTTGACTTGAGTTTTAATATGTTGGTATATATTTTTTTCCTTCTTTTTCTTTTAGAGAAGGTATAAATGATGGGCATATTTGATCTTTGAATATGCGAAATTCGGAATTGTCTGCGCTGAAGCATTTCCGATAGAGTATTATTGCTGAAGCATTGCCGATAGAGTATTATTGCTGAAGCTTTATAGATTCGGGACTTTTATCAAAAGATAGCTAAGGTCAGCAGAGTTTGATATTATTCCCCGATGGTATAACGATTATTTTAGTTCTTGATCAATAGTGAGAGCATTGTATTTTTCCCTGTTGGCATGATTGTCATTTTCAGATAGTAACTTAACCTCTAAGAATTGGATACATTGCACACTAGGCAATTTGTATGCAAATTCATACCACCAGTTGATGAAATGGCTCTCGCTCGAAATTATCACTCGGTATGCTCTTGGCCTTGCCATATCATCAAGCTCATCAAGCTCATCATCACCCTCATCCTCATCTCGACATATTTCCGAAATTAGCAAGGTCGTGTACTATAAACCAATCGTTTGTGACATGTAGAAAGAACTTTGATACATATTCGAGGTGACCCTTTACGATAGAATACGTATTTAGTACCAGCTAATGTTTTCTTGATAGGAAGAAAAGAAAAGGGCTTTTAAGCACGACATGTTTTTAAGAAGGAGATTGCTACTGAGCGGTATACTACCGAGAGCAGCTCTAAAAAGGAATTGTTTCTGCTCTCAAATTTTTATAACTCAATCGTTGCTCCAAAATTTCACAAGGATAGAGCTGCCTCCGCTTTTACAACAAGTAAGATTCAACACGTTTACTAGTTCTACAAAGAGAACCGGAACTACAAAGGCGAAAACGTATCGGTCTTCAGAGGACGATTCCACGAAAAAGTCGAAAACGTATCGGTCTTCAGAGGACGATTCCACCTCTACAAACACGAAAAAGGCGAGTCTTTTTAAAGATGTTATCAAACTTTTGAGATTAGCAAAGCCAGAGACAAAATTATTGATATTTGCTATAGTATGTTTGGCAGTCACGTCTGCTACTTCCATGTCCCTTCCCTTAATTATAGGAAGAATAATTGATACTGCGAACCCATTGAAAGTGAGTGGTGATGATGACGGTGCTAAAGAAGAAGTAGAGAAAGTAGAGGAGGATGAAGAAAGAACAAAGAGGCTCTTTTTTGGACTAAGTCAAACCCAGTTTTTTTCAGCATTGGGAGTTTTATTTACAGTTGGTAGTTTTGCTAATTTCGGTAGGATATATTTACTACGAACTGTTGGAGAGAGGTTAGTAGCAAGGCTAAGATCGAGATTGTTTTCCAAAATTCTTGCACAAGATGCGTACTTTTTTGATGTTGGTCCCTCAAAAACTGGTATGAAGACTGGTGATTTGATTTCAAGGATAGCTAATGATACGCAGGTTATTTCCAAGAGTTTAAGTATGAATATCAGTGATGGTATGAGGAGCATTATTAGTGGAGTTGTCGGTTTGAGCATGATGTGTTTTGTTTCTTGGAAATTGACCTTGTGCATGAGTTTGATGTTTCCTCCTTTGATTTTGATGTCCTTTTTTTACGGTAGAAAGATTAAGGCTTTGTCAAAGTTGATTCAAGAGAATATTGGAGCATTGACCAAAGCGACAGAGGAAAGATTGAATGGGGTCAAGGTTATCCAATCATTTGCTCAACAGCGAGGAATGGTACATGGGTATAATAAAGAGATAAAAGAGATATTCAACAGCTCCATGAGGGAAGGTAAATTGTCGGGTATTTATTATTCTACTAACGGGTTTATTGGTAATGTTACTATGATTGGGTTGCTATTTATTGGAACCAAATTAATAGGAATGGGAGAGATGTCAATTGGAGATTTATCCAGTTTCATGATGTATGCTATTTATACGGGAAGTTCTGTATTTGGATTGGGAAATTTCTATACTGAATTAATGAAAGGTATTGGAGCTGCAGAACGGATTTTTGATTTGGTTGATTATAGACCAAAAATTCCCAATAATTTGGGTCGCAAATACAAATTGCACGGGGACATTACTTTCAAGGATGTTAATTTTTCGTATCCTTCAAGGCCCGATGTGATATTTGATAATTTGAATTTACATATTAGAGAGGGAGAAAATATATGTATAGTTGGGCCTTCGGGTAGTGGAAAGTCAACAATTGGTGAAATACTTTTGAGATTTTACGATGTCAATTCTGGAAGTGTTTCGATTGGAACAAGTGGCAACAATGTGCAGATTAAAGATTTGAACTTGAACAACTACCGCGACCAGCTTGGATATGTTCAGCAGGAGCCATTATTGTTCAGTGGTACAATCAAAGAGAATGTTGTTTTTGGAAAAGAAGATGCCACCGATACAGAAATTGAAGAGGCTTTAGCATTGAGTCATTCTACAGCATTTATCCGAAACCTTCCTGATGGATTAGAGACAAAGATTGGAGCATCAAATAAAACACTATTGAGTGGTGGTCAAAAGCAAAGACTTTCCTTGGCAAGAACATTAATCAAAAAACCAAGAATACTAATCTTGGATGAAGCTACATCTGCATTAGATTCAATCAGCGAGGAAGAAGTGATGAAAAATCTATTAGGCTTGAATAGAGAATACGGGATAACAATAATCTCGATAGCTCATAGGTTGTCTACGATCAAGAATAGTGATAGAATAATAGTTCTTGATCAGAATGGGAATATTACAGAGGATGGTCCATTTAGCGAGTTGAATAATGACCCAAACAGCAAGTTTAATAAATTATTGATAAAAAACGAACTTGAGTAAACAATAACTCAAATAGCATACCTAGTTCAAAAAAGAACAAACTTGAGTAAACAATGAAAATAATTATATAGTTAGATTTCTTGTAAATAGCTAATGTTATAGAGAAGAGACGATTTGAAACTATTACGCCAGAAATTCAATTCTTGGTTTTATTTTATTTTATTTTTTATTGATAGCGATTTTCTTGGTATTCCTGTGAAATCTTTACAAAAATTATTAGCCAAATAGATTGCCCCCTGAAAATATTATGATAACCCTTTACAATGTAAAGGCAAGAAAGAGTATCTCACCTTCCATATCTTTTCTCTATAGCCTCTTTTTACCAACCCCCGTGTGTCAATAGAAAATCCGTGTGGAACAAGCTTGCAACTAAGAAAAAAAAAACTCCGAATACAATAAAATACCCAACGCCTAAATTAAACTCCGGGGGGGGGGGGGGGGGGGGGGGAAGGGGGTTTCTACATTACTCCGAGCGGCTTTATCACTACCCCCACTTTATTCTCTAGTGCAAATAAGATAAAATAATTTGATCCACTATCGAGCAGAGCGAAATAGTGGAGTACACTGATTAGGGACACTGAATAACGAAAAGGATGCAATCAAACCGCCTCATCTCTCATCTCTCATTTCTCATTTCTCATTTTTCATTTCTCATCTCTCATTTTTCATTTCTCATCTCTCATTTTTCATCTCTCATCTCTCATTTTTCATCTCTCATCTCTCATTTTTCATCTCTCATCTCTCATTTTTCATCTCCCATCTCTCATTTTTCATCTCCCATCTCTCATCTCCCATCTCTCATTTCTCATCTTTCATTCTCTCCTTCCAAATCACGTTAAAAAAAGATCAAATGGGAAAATATAAAATGAATGTATTTCAATTGATATATAGTTATATTAGTATGCATTTATTACAAATAATAATCAAACACTACAACATTTATAAAATGCCTAGAATTTTTAATGATAAGTAAAAGGGTAGCAATAGGGTAGCAATAGGGCAATAGAGTAGTAATAGAGTAGTAATAGAGTAGTAATAGAGTAGTAATAGAGTAGCAATAGAGTAGCAATAGAGTAGTAATAGGGCTAGAGTAATAATAGAGTAGTAATAGAGTAGCAATTTACAAAATGTTCAATTATTTTACATTAACCGTTGACAGAATTCTCTACCGCGGTGTTTTCCATGTTCCTGAGCAAGAAAAAAAAATAATAATTACCCTTAAAGCATTAATGTGCATGCATAGTTTCGTTGTTGACATATTTACTGTGTACATACAAACTGTTGGCTTATATATTTATAGTCATCATTATTGGTCATTGATTGTTTGATAAGCCTAAAAGGATGGAAAATTACAGCTAAAAGGATGGAAAATTACAGCTAAAAGGATGGAAAATTACAGCTTAGAGCGAAAAGATAAGCAAATGGACTTATAGTGCGAGCTAGAGGGTGGTAGACAAAAAAATAAATAGTGATGGCGCAAAGTTGCCTTTCTCACAAAGTTAAAGCGATATCCCTGCGAGACTTGTAACTGTTTCTGGAAAAAACAAAACTGCGTAGAAGGGCAAATATTATTTCTTTCAAGTATTGTGGAGGAGTTGAATATGTAAGTTATTTAACTAAATAGAAAATTTTAACTATGGGCTTTATAAAGCATTGTAAAAAATCAATGATTTTGATAATCAAGTAGTCTTTTTTTTCCCTCTTTATTAGAGTAGTAGGCCCAATGCCATTTTACAAGAAAGTAAGGGAAACTATACTACATCCGGTTCAGGAAGTTCATGGTGTGCTTAGTCATCTAAGTGGATCAACCACTGTAAGCGAGAAAGAGGAAGACGAGGAGGAAGACGAGGAGGAAGACGAGGAGAACAAAAGGGTAGATGCTGAAAACAAAAAGGTAGATGCTGAGAACAAAAAGGTAGATGCTGAGAACAAAAGGGTAGATGCTGAAAACAAAAGGGTAGATGCTAAGAACAAAAGGGTAGATGCTGAAAACAAAAAGGTAAATGCTGAGGACAAAAAGGTAGATACTAAGAATGAGGATGAGGATGGGACAAAATTAGCTGGAGTTGCTAGCAAACCCGCTTCACCGGTTGAAGAGAAACCTTCATTTTCGGAGTTACAACGACGTAGTACGGATGAAGATGACGATGAAGATATTGCACAACCCTATGGTGATTCAAGTGGAGGGAATTTTTTCTCTTCCTTGATCAATAATACTTCAATATGTTCAGGATTTGGAACGCTAAATAGTTTGAGAAAATTCAGTATTGAAGATTTTTTAAAGAGCCACAAGGATGACAGTATACTGCAAGATCAAGGATATCTTAATCTGGAAAAACACAATAACCCTAGTTTCCATTCACTGCAAATTCACCAAGAAGCTTCGGCTCCGGGTCGTAATGATCAGCTTAATCAACTGCCAAAAAGTTCAGATTTTGTGCATAAAGCTCACCCAGTTTATGCAGAGCGTCAAAGAAAGTCTAGTGACGAATACCATCATACGACAAGCGAGGATAACGACTACTACGACGACGACGAGGATGATGATGATGATGATGATGATGATGACGACGACGAATACTATGAAGACGTGGATCCAGAGTTTGAGGAGGAAAAATTTGTCGCTAGCAGATTGACCCCTACACAATCAATGATTTCAATTCAACCAGAAAAATCAAGTGATGATAAAACTGCTCGACCCACAACTAAAACAACGGAAGCAGCTACAAGTGTGCCTTCTGACTTGACGTCGTATTCGACACTAGACAGTGAATCTACAGTGGGTCCAGAAAGGAAACAACAAAATATCACTACTACTCATACTGCTAGTACAGCAACATCAGCAACAACAACAACAACAACAACAACAACAACAACAACTTTATCTGAGAATAATGACGCCAATAAATTTCCCACACTGAACTCGAATATAGAAGCAAAACCGAATATAGAAGCGAAACAGCCATTGTTAATACAAACACCTTTACAAAGATCAGTGGTTGAGAATTTGGACCCACATAATATACGTGAAGGCGTTTTGATCAAGTTAAAGGGTCATAATCTTAAAGAGGATACCAGTTCAATGTTAAATGATTCCAAAATTCAATTACGGTTGAAAATAGCTGAAAAGTTGAAGAGAACATTTCGATTGAATGATGAGGATGTTTTTTATAGGAATTACAGTGCATGGCTTGTGAAAGATGTTCTCCTCCAAGGTCATTTTTACCTAACCAGGGAGTCACTCCTTTATTTTGCCTTTTTGCCTAAACGTTTTAGTTTGGAAGGTTCAACAGACGTTCAAAATATGGATGATACTTCGAATATAATCATGAGAGGTAACTTGGGTATGAAGACTGGGAAATTTGGTGATACTACTTTTGCAACTGTTTTGACTCACCGATATTGGTCGATTTTGAGACCGGAAACTTTGACCATTTATAGTTCATCCACGGATTTGTATTTCCCACTTTTGGTAATTGATATACGAAGTTGCCTATATGCTGAAATCATGGACAAAGAGAAGTATAAAGAGGTTGTTTCATCGCCCAATTCTAAAAGTGGTTATACGTCAGGCATTATTACGCCGCCTTCTGTTGATGACACTACTTCCGAACTACGAGAAATGCTTAGCGATGATGAGTTCAACGCAACAGAAGATAATATCGATATGAAAAGTAGCACTTTTTGGTTCAAATTGGTAACCAAGAAAAAAACATATAAATTCCAGTGTGATAACTTGTATTCAGCTCGCCAGTGGTGTAATAATTTGACCAAATTAATATTTCAGTTGAATAATGCAAATCTGAGTGGCGAGGTGTTGATAAAAATACCTATAGCGAATATAATAGAATTCAAAAAGAGAACGTTGTTCGATGAGGAGAAAGATGACGATGTGGAAGAAGACTTGAATGACATACCTTTGAGCTTGAGTATCAAGTATCATACAAATCAGCTCGTTGAGAAGAAAAAGAAAAGTAGTTTTGGTTACCGAATGAGGAGTGAGCCCGATGACTTGGACGAAGTCTTTTTCTTGTTCTCCAAGAATGGAACAGAGTTGTTCAAATCGATTGAAGAAATCTTTGACCAAAATCTTGCAGCTGATGACTCCAGCACGAAAAAAGCGGGTCTTTTTTTTAGTGGTTTCAAGAATGATAAGGTTCTGTTGCAAAAGTCAATCTCCACACTAACACCCTCGGCAAACACCTTGGTTCAAACGGTTGTTGAAAAAAACATGCCCGATATGAAAGCAAAAACGACAGACGAGTCAACGTTAAAGAAACTTGGAAAATCTATTACTAGACCAAAAACCCTTCTTAAGATTCCAAACTCATTTGGATCGGTTGATCGAATGATTTCAGAGTCACCAACTGAGAGTACTCATATCTCCTTACCTCGAGCACTTTCAGAAAAGAATTTACGTAAGTTGGAAATATCATTTGAAACAACATTTAAAAATTTGAAAGACGCAACTTCAAGATATGATGATTCTGGCAACCATCTTCCACTTCCATCAAATATTACCGACAAAGATGCTAATAAAAAGAACAAGGGTATTTTGCGTAAAAAGATAAGAGCCATTTCATCAGTTGGCACTAAATTCTCAGCTAGCCCACAGCATTATCTAAAAGAAGATGAATATTTTGTGCACAGCTCTCATGACCGAGAAGATGCCTTGAAACATTTCCAAGAACATTTTTCATTGTTTAATTCTCAGATAATTGCGTCTTATTATTGTCATGTATTGCGATCTGTGCCTGTTTATGGAAAATTGTATATTTCCGATTGTGAAGTTTGTTTTAGAAGTTTACTTCCGGGTGTGTCAACAAAGATGATAATCCCCTTGATGGATATTGTTGGTATTGAAGCCACTGATGGGTTCAAGTTGGGGTATGCTGGTGCCAAAATAGTTGTTCAAGGCATAGATGAGATGGTTTTTGAATTTGCATACTCAAAGTCAAGGGACGACTTTTTAGAGACTTGTTTGGAAATATTGCATAAGCTTCATAAAAACGATGGATTTAGACCCAAACCTTATGAGTGGGGTAGTAACTATAATATTGAGCTTTACAAAACACGCATGGGGTATACTGATTCTGAACGACAAAACCTAGAAAAGCAGCCGGATAATAAGAGAGATTTGAAGCTTGCTGAACACAGGGTAGCACTAGCAAGAATCAAAATGTTTGAAGACAGATTGAATGGAGCATCTGGTTTAGACGTTCCAATAGTTCTTGAGGATTCTCCCTTCTTCCAAACGGAAATGAAACCTTCTACATCCTACAATATTACCCTTCTTACTATTGGATCACGTGGTGATGTACAACCATATATAGCCTTGGCAAAGGGCTTAATGAGAGAAGGACATAGAATTACGATTGCAACTCATAGTGAATTTAAAGATTGGATTGAAAAGTATGGTATACAATTCAAGGAAGTTGCTGGAAATCCTGCGGAGTTGATGTCTTTTATGGTTACGCATAGCACAATGTCGGTATCGTTTTTGAAAGATGCTCAAGCAAGATTCAAGAATTGGATTAAGAAATTATTAACAAGTAGCTGGCAAGCATGTCAAGGTGCTGATATTTTAATTGAGAGTCCTTCCGCCATGGCTGGTATACATATTGCGGAAGCCTTGTTGATACCCTATTTTCGTGCTTTTACTATGCCTTGGACAAGAACTCGAGCTTACCCACAAGCCTTTTTTGTACCTGATCAAAAGAGAGGTGGATCATACAATTATCTTACACATGTTGTTTTTGAAAATATCTTTTGGAAGGGAATACAAGGCCAAGTGAATAAATGGCGTGTTCAAGAGTTAGATTTACCAAAGACCAATTTGTACAGAATGCAACAAACAAAAGTTCCGTTTTTGTACAATGTTTCACCGTGCGTTATGCCATTTGCGACTGATTTCCCGAGTTGGATTACAGTTACTGGATACTGGTTTTTAGATGAAGGTGGTTCAGATTACAACCCGCCAAGTGAATTAATTAAATTCATGGATCAAGCTGTGGAAGATGATAAGAAGATTGTTTATATTGGATTTGGATCAATTGTAGTGAACGATGCTGAATCATTAACGAAGGCTGTTGTTGAAGCAGTTTTAGAGGCCGATGTTAGATGTATTTTGAACAAAGGGTGGTCAGATCGTGGTCGCAATAAGGACAAGAAGAAAATCGAGGTTGAGCTTCCTCCCGAAGTTTATAATGCTGGTTCTATTCCCCATGATTGGCTATTCCCTAGAGTTGATGCCGCTGTTCATCATGGAGGTTCTGGAACCACAGGCGCTACGTTGAAGGCGGGATGCCCCAGTATAATCAAGCCATTTTTTGGCGATCAGTTTTTTTATGGACAGAGAATTGAAGATATGGGAGTAGGCGTTTCCTTGAAAAAATTGACCAAGAAATCCTTAGCCAAGGCTCTTGTAACAGTTACGGAAGATTTGAAGATTATGGAAAAGGCCAAAAAAGTTAGTCAGATTATTAGTCATGAGCATGGTGTACTTTCTGCAATTGAGTCTATATATTTGGAGTTGGAGTATTCAAGAAACTTGATCTTTGCTAAAGGGGTTCATAATGAAAATTACAAACGTCATCATCCTGATTTTAGATTGCAAACTGAAACTCCCACAGCCGAGGCTTCAGATGAAGAAGAAGAAGAAGAGGACGACGACGACGGTGACAATGACGATGACAATGACGACAATGACGACGACGACGACGACGACGACGACGACGATGAAGATGAAGAGGAAGAGGAAGAGGAATCAGATAACCACAACGACAACGACGATGACACTAATAATAGCACAGACGTTGAGGATAACGAAAATTCCGACGTTGATAAGATATAATGTGCATATAAGGGGGTCAAAGGGGGGTAAAACGAAGCCCTTTTTTTTTTTTTTATGTATTATTTATAGTATACGATTGAATACACCAACCAAGTTTTTGATTATATGGGGCTCCCCCCAAATAATTTGCCTTTGTGTAAAGTGTTTCACAAACTATACGGGGGGGGGGGGCAATACATTTAATTTAATTTTTTCTAGAATTGGTTTGGTCACGTGAGCTGTCCTCACTTTGTAAGGAGATAGCAAAATTGGAGCATGTAGGAGGGACTTGAGGAGACCTAAATCTAACCAAGATTACTTATTTACACAACTAGATTGTTAGCACAAATAGTAATCGCTCAATAAGTGTCAACAACTACTAATAACTAGTATTGTAAGAATTCAAGAGTACAACTTGTAACTCTCCTAGATTTGTTCGAGTACCCAGTAGCTTGAAAGGAAGAGAGAGTGTGTGTGTGTGGGGGGGGGGGGGGGATGAACTTTTAATATTGAAATATTGGAACCACAGTTTTTTTTTTTTTTTTTTTTCTTTTTCCCTTTATTGTTCCTTTTTCAACCCCGGTTACTTATGGAACTTATAGAAACGAACAAAAGCATCGACTTTTACCCTGTAACTTGATTTATTTATTTTTCCAAGTGTGATGAAACTGCTATATAAAGATATAACCGAGCGAGAATGTCAAACCAACTCGTTTGCGCTGATTGTACCAGGACAGACTATAGTTGAGATACCGGAATATACATTGGAATGTGGTGAGACGTTATATAATTTCCCTGTTGCGTACAAGACTTGGGGCAGATTAAACAAAGACAGGAACAATGCATTTCTTATATGTCATGCGCTCACAGGATCTTCTGATGTTCAGGATTGGTGGGGTCCTTTACTAGGCACAGATAAGACTTTTGATCCCTCGCGATTTTTCATAATTTGTATTAATTTTCTTGGATCTCCATATGGGTCCTGTTCGCCTGTTAGTATAGACCAATCAAGCGGAAAACCGTATGGCCCTAGTTTTCCCTTGGTCACAGCAAAGGATGATTTGGGAATACAGAAATTGATATTGGACTCATTAGGAGTTAAACAAATAGCATGTGTTATAGGAGGATCTATGGGCGGGATGTTGGCAATGGAGTATTCTGCAACTTACAATGATACTGACTATGTTAGACTAGTTATTGCATTAGCCACTTCCGCGAGAGCTTCTGCATGGTGTATATCATGGAACGAAACGCAAAGACAGTGTATTTTCAGTGATCCATTTTATGATGATGGGTACTATTTCGAGAACAAGAGTGGCCGCAAACCTGATTCTGGATTGAGTGCAGCTAGAATGGCTGCATTGTTGACATACAGATCACGCAATTCATTTGAAACACGATTCGGTAGAAAATTGGGCAAGAACAATACTACCATGAACAACGGAGCAGCAGCAGCGGGTGATGGTGGCGCAGGAGTAAGAGGAGGAGAAGTAGAAAAGGGGATAAGGTATCCAAAGAATAATGATGAAGAGCATTGGCTATTGCATAACGAAGGGTCTAAGACGATAAACGGGAAACAAAGAAATCAGGATAAGAATTTACCAACATATTTCACTGCACAATCGTACTTGAGATATCAAGGTACCAAGTTTATCAACAGATTTGATGCAAACTGTTATATATCGATAACGAGAAAATTGGATACTCATGACATAACAAGAGGTAAAATTAATGATGAAGCAGCCGAATGTACAAATATAGATCCATTACCCGAATTTCTCAAAACATTAACCAAACAGCATTTGATTATTGGTATTGAATCCGATGGATTGTTTACATACGAAGAACAAAAATTACTTGGTGAGAATATACCTAAATCGGTACTAAAAAAATTGGATTCTCCAGAGGGTCATGATGCATTTTTGTTAGAATTTGAATTGATAAACCAGTACTGCTTAGATTTTTTGAAACTGAACTTGTCTGAATTTTATGATGATGATAAAGTTGAATTATTTACAGATTGGAAAAAATACGTTCAAGATGTTGATAATGGTGGTAATTCAGTATTTGGTGAGGCAGAGAAGAATATAACCAATTGGTGAGACAAATTGTGTTGATATGGATTGGTGGTGGTGCTGGGAAGGAGATAGAGAAACGAGAGATAAACTATGGGTAAAGGGTAAGCGTTTGTATAAGATAATGGATAGCTTGCATATGGTTTGCTCTGCTTTTTATCTATTCTCTTTAACAACAAGATGTTTTACATGGCGAAGTTAAAGTTCTAATGTGAGAGTTATCAAAAGGGTGGGGGGGTTATTGTGGTATAGGCCCCACAATTGTATTTTCTTCTTTCCTTTTTTTTTTTATTTTTTTTTTATTTGCAAGTGATGAACTGAATTGTCTAAATGGTTGTGAACTGGTGATTCAGTGAGCTGTGGACCAGAAGTACAAGTGAACCAGTGCGATTGCGCATTCAGCGAGCAATTGGGGCTGAGGGGAGGATGAAGAAAAAAGGCTGGTTTTTTTTTTTTTTTAATTTTTGGCTGCGAAAACAACAGTCCTGGTGTGGGTGAGGTTAGCCTGGTCACCTTAAATTGAGTTGTCAAAACTACCACTATTGTTACTACCACTGTCATTAGCACAATTACACCACCAACAGTTTATCAATTTAACACACATAACTGGTATGGTTAGTTCTCCACGTTACATTTTTCAAAAGATCTCAACTTTGTTAAGAGAATTACAATACACTTTTTTTTTTTTGGGTCAATTATTAACAAAAATTCTACAATCAAGTAATATTGTGGATAGAAGCTAAATTTTTCTTTTTTTTTTCGTTATTTAGAATAATAGAAAGGTTACAAGATAATGTATTTTAAGTAAGACCAGTAAATACCTTGAAAATTATAATGAATATGTGCCACTGTGTAGACGAATCGTGAGTACAAGATTGTTGTGTAACACGGGTTGACATTCCAATTGTAAATAGTAATCTGAAATTCAATTTGACGATGTGACCAAGGACAAAGAGAATAAAAAAAGGATGATATTTGTGTTAATTTGCCCCTTTTACATCTAGTGCATCAGTGTTGAAACCACCCAAATGTCATATTACGTAACATTTGGAAGATTACTAGCTTTCCGCTAATAAAACGGAAGATAACTGGTATGAGAAATTCAGTAGGAATTGATTAATGAAACTGGTTTTTATGTTTAATGTCAACTTGTGTACAAAGGGAAAAAAAGAGAACTAGGTAAGTAAGCTATGAAAAAAAAAAAGAATTAGGTAAACTATGGAAAAAAAAAAAAGAACCAAGTAAGCTATGCAACTGGGTAGTTGTGTTGTTATTTAGTTACTGTGACCAGAATATTGACCTCTTCCACACTGTAGCAGTTGCTACAACTTAATTAGAGACACTGTACCTTTTTTTTTTTAGGAAAAGAAATGTATAAAAACCTAGTTTTTGTTACCACCGTTGAGGAGAACGAAGACTACTGATAGGATCATCCTTATTCTTAAAAAGCTTTTATTGTCTAACTTTATGATATTTAAGATTCACTGTTTTATTGTTTGTGAAAGAAAGAAATATAAAGCTTAACAGTTTCATAAAACCTCATTATCATTGTCACCAATGCAACTAAAAAACAGCATCTGGTCATATAGAGGGGAGTAGATAAAAGCGGAGGTTGTGTTGTCATGTTGTATAAAGAAGGCTATCCATAAAGTATATAATATAACTTTGTTTATCTCTGGATGTGTAGGCTTCTTGAACAAATTCAACTGAACTTGTTCATAGCAATAAGTTCAATTAAAAATGAGGAAAGAGACGGTTGAAAGGTTTTCGGGGTTGCGGTAGAAAGAAGGGAGAGGACTCTATGGAAATAAAGCTTGTCCCGTGGAATGTGTTTAACTCTGTTCTTTTCAACTTTATATTGTTTCGTTATATGGGCTTTATTGGTCATAGAAGCGAAAAAAAAAAATGGATAAAGTTTAATTCGCAACCAATTCTTTGCAATAAAAAAGTATTGTTGCGAATTTCGTTTTTTCCATGACATGATATAATGATCAGGTATTGTCACACAAGGCATCAGTTCTTGTCAACAGTGTTACAAGTTTTATGTTTACTAGTTACATAATTGATTTTGTAACAAACAATGAACAATAGCCAGTTTCTTAATTATGTAAAAATGTTACAATACCTTAAACTTATAAATTCTGTCAATGAGAGTAATTTAGTAACACCATCATGAGATTTGCAATTAGCATATAAAAGAGGATATTATTCCATTGAAAAGATTTTCAAAAAGGCTACCATCCCCCCTTTCTCCCAGTTAATCAAAACTGGCCTACTTTCCTCTGACCTAAGTGAGATTTCAGGGTAAAGGGTTGGAACGTGTTAATATTTGTAGGTTGTAACATTAAACACCAAGGCCTAAAATTTTCTTTAAAACAAAAACAACCAAAAAAAAAACAGAGAGGAACAAAAAACAGAGGAACAAAAAACAGAGAGGAACACACATTGGACCAAAGTTCTTCTAGCTTATATCTATAGCCCACTATTTCCTCATTTTGAAAACCTCAAGTACAAAGGTGTGTCGTGTGTCAGTGCCATTGCACAATTATTTTGAGTCTCTATTTACTCACAAAAACAATAGAAGTTTAATTGTTTACAATAATTCCAATTCAGGAGAAAAGTAGGGAAAAAAATAGATTTTGAAATATCTCATCTTATACTTTTGCACAAGTATATCCAAACCCTTGCACATCGAACGTTCCATACAAGCCACCCACCAATCCACGTCGAACCGCTTGACATTAACCATACATCCACCTGCCACCAATCATCTACCTCGTGGCTTATTGTGTCTATCTATTCAAATATAGAAGCTATTTCAAAGAGTTGCCTCCTTTTTTTTTTTTTCTTCCTTCTAGACGAGATCCCGAGACGAGACAAAAACATAACAACAAATTTTTTTGCGGTTTTTGTTTTTGTTTTGGTCGTTTTGGAAAATACCATCTGCTTTTATTACTGCTCTTTTATTATAACACTGAAATTGAAGTGTATTTCTAACTGTTACATATAAAAGCTCCATTTAGGTTATAACTAGTAATTCACCAACCCAACCCACCAACCCAACCCAACCCATAAACCTCTACCCACTATCCCACTATCCCCTTATCCCACTATTCAACCACTCCCCCACCTGCGCTTATTAAACCTCCTTGCAGTTGAAACGGATTTACAAGTCCGAAAAACCACCTTTTTCCCTTACTTCATTCATTATCTTTTCCTTAAATTAAAGTTCATTTATCCATTGACTTTACTTTGGGGGGGTTCCTATAAAAATAATATACACCTATATATCGCCGCACCTACTTCAATACATCCACTTGCGGTACATAGACCACTACTACTATATATACACCTCAATTATACACACCTTCCCCAGATATAAGCCTACTCCATAGATATATACTAGTCACCTGAAACTCTGTTGGGTAACAGATAATAATCCACTAAGAAAAAAAAAAACAAATTTCAAGCACGAGTTACGGGGATAATTATAAACATATATAATTTTGTCATTATAATGCCTGTAAATGTTGTGATACCAACTGGAATAGAGTCCTCTTTTCCCAAAAATCTTGATAACATAGTGACACCACCAAGGTGTCCATCTATAACAGGAAAACCCGACTTATCCACAACTTTGAATACGGCTACCACTAACCCAAATACTACTAATCCCACCACCAATAACACCAATACCAACACCACCAATAACACAACCAATAACACCACCACTCCCAGCAATTCCGCATCACAGATGCATTCTGCCAAGAGGTTGCATCGCGAGGTCAGATTCGGCTCATACATACTTGGATCGACCTTAGGCGAGGGGGAGTTTGGCAAGGTCAAACTAGGCTGGAGAAAGGATGGTAAGCATCCAAGCCAAGTAGCTATAAAGCTTATCAAAAGATCATCAATTGTCAAGGATTCAGACTCAGAAATTAAAATACATCGAGAAATAAACTCACTAAAGCTATTAAATCACCCGAATATTGTCAGTTTGGTAGAGGTTATGAAAAGTGGGAAGTATGTTGGTATAGTCTTGGAATACGCCTCAGGAGGTGAATTGTTCGACTATATTCTACAACATAAATACTTGAAAGAACCTGTAGCAAAGAAGATTTTTGCCCAGTTGGTCAGTGGGGTCGATTATATGCATGCAAAAGGTTTAATCCATCGTGATTTGAAATTGGAAAATCTATTACTAGATAAACATAATAATGTCATTATAAGCGATTTTGGGTTTGTCAACTCTTGCAACAAAGAGCATGGGGAGCTAATGAAAACTAGCTGCGGCTCTCCATGCTATGCCGCCCCGGAACTAGTCTTGACCCAGTCACCTTATCATGGTAGAAAAGTGGATATATGGTCTCTTGGAGTCATACTATATGCAATGCTATCAGGTTATTTGCCCTTTGATGATGACCCTGAAAACGAAGACGGCTCAGATATCATTAAATTGTATCAGTACATTTGCAAAACCCCCTTAACGTTTCCCGAATACGTCACTCCATTAGCTCGTGACTTACTTCGAAAAATTATAGTATCTGATCCAACAAAGAGAATAAATATAGACGAAATAAGAAATCACCCCTTCTTAACACCTTATTCAGCATTGTTATCTGTAAGACAACCAGAATGGGATAGAATATATAAAGAAAAACAAATGCCTGCAAAAGTCGTTCAACAGCAACAACAACAACAAGTGTCTTCTTACAACAAAAGATATTCAATGGTTAATGTACCCACTAATTCGTCTTCATTGGTGACATCAACCATGCACCATAATACATCTCAAATCTCGCAATTACAACAACATTTGCAAATGCAGTTACAGAACCAAACACAAGCAATATCACCAACAGCAGCCACAGCACGGTCATCTCATTCAAGATCATACTCTTCAACTAGTATCAGTCTCCTTTATGCATCACCGTCAATGTCTAATAGTGCCACATCAAATCTTGAAGATTCTATCGACTCCCTTGCATTATCGAAAACTCCATCGCCGAAAAAGGCATCATCAGTTTCTCCAACAAGAGGACATCAAAAATCAGCTTCAATCTCAAATTCTCAGTCGTCTGCTAGTTTTGCTCTCAAGGCAGTTGTTAATGACGATTTGATGAATAGACCTTCAGCATATAACAATTACACTAGTCAATCTATGATTCCTACTATTGTCGAAAGCCCAACTAAACCAACAACAACAACAACACAGACAAGCATCTTAGTTCCATCAAAAGAATTTTCCAAATTACCACCAACAGTAAAGAAACCAAGACCTACATCATACCACCCATCTTCAATGTCATCGTCATCATTCTTGACTGCCAGTACTCATTCCTCAAATTATAAAGAAATGTTGAAATTCTCCAAGGCGCCCAACTACATGTCGCAATACATTTCAACGTCTCCACCCAAACCTTTCGAACCATTAAATGAATATACTAGAGTAGGAGCAGGAGCAGGAGCAGGAGCAGGAGGAAATGGTAGTGGTGGTAGTAGTAGTATTGGTAATGGTACGCAAATTTCCGTTTCTAGGCGAAACTCCGAGGTCACTCATGTGCACGTTAATGGCGTGTTAGGAAATGAGAATGCTCCTCGTAGTGGATCGCCAGAGAGTAAGCGAAACTCCGTTTTAAGTTATTGGGAAGATAAGATTGAAGCATTAGAAGCAGGTGAATCATATTACTCACTTTCTAAAGCTGGCTTTGAAGGTGTTGAAGCATCAGTGTCACCAACTCTTGATATACAAAAGAGTAATGAGGTTAAGGAAGAGGTAGTTAAAGAAGAAAAAATTGAAGAGACATCAAAGGATATTATGGAAGAATCGGAAATCACAGCAGCAGATAAATCAAAAAGCGAAGATTTTGAGCAGGAAATTGTACCGTTTATGCCAATGGAGGAATACATTACCAAGTCAAAGACAGGCGACGAAGATGATGTTGAGATCTTAGTGACGACGAAAATTGATACACCACCTCTCGAAAAATCCGAGCCTGTGATTGTTGTAAATCAGGCAAAAGTAGATGCAGGGTCAAAGAGGCATAGCATGCCAGCTAGAAGAGATCGTGTTTTCAGCGATGAGAATAAAGAGAATAGGGAAACGAAAAAGAAGAATAGGTTCAGTTTGTTATCATTCTATAGCACTTACAATTCATCAGCTTCGAATGTGTCAATACCAGCACCTAAGGAAATAATTCAACAGCAACAGCAACAACAACAACAACAACAAATGAATGGAACATCGGTAACAACCGCTACAACCTCGGTTAAACACTCGAGAAAAGTTTTGGAACCAACAAATGATACCAATATCATGAAAAAATATGACCAAAAAAAATTGAATTCAGCTACCACTACAACTACACCAGCATCATCATCATCATCAAAAAGACACTCAATTGCAATTTCTTCTTCTACATCTGGCCCTTCTTCTTCAAAAGCGAATAAGGAGTCCAGTGCTGCCAGAAAAGTAATGGACTTTTTTAGAAGAAGAAGTGTCAGAGTGGGGTAAACGGAGGATTAACTAACATGGTCGTCCATATATCCTTCTTAGATTTTATTTTCATTTTCATTTTTTTAATGTATAAATATAGATAAACTTTGTCATTCCCTTGAAAAATCGCAATGGTTCTCTGTCTGCTATAAACAAAAATGACTCATTAATTTAACAAACCCCACAAGTCCCGCTATTATGAGTTCCATCTTGTAAAACTTGTGAATCTGAACATCCGAAATTCCGTATACTTTTCTTTTATCTTTTTTTTTTTTTTTTTTTTTTTCCTTATTTCCACTTGATGCCTTTGCCACTTTACCAAGTAGTGATTCTACTGTACTTTTTTCTTTAGTAGCATGGGTATAGAAGAGCAGGCGAAACTTGGAATAGAGAAAGATGTGACTAAGGGATTAGTGCAAACATTCACCAGGAACGGTATTGAAATAGAAATACAAGGCTATGCTGGGGATGAGGTGACAAGAGATGATGATGAAGATGATGAAGAAGATGGTGGTTTACCGTTTACTAGTGATCACCACGAAAGCAGGCCTCAGCTTTTTTCGATTGCGAATAGTAACGGGTCTTCCAGCAAAGATAATAGTACAGGAGATAATAGTAGCTTATCCAAAATCGACGAGACTCTTGAAACTACCATTATCACCGAGATTCAACAAGCACAATATATTTGTCTTGTATGTACAGGGGAAATCGACAAGAACTCAAAAATATGGAGCTGTCAAGAATGTTTTCGAGTCTACGATTTAGAGTGTATTAAGGATTGGGCGATACGAGGGTCGTCTACTAACAAATTGAACAAAACATGGAGGTGCCCCAGTTGCAATTATGAAACTAAGAAATTACCTGCAAAGTTTACGTGCTGGTGTGGTAAAGTTAAGAATCCGGAAATAAATCCATTGATGCCCTTTAGCTGCGGCAATTTGTGTAACTACAAGTATAGCGATTGTATTCATCGATGCTTGAATACTTGTCATCCGGGAAAACATCCTGTATGTGGTGCTACGGGTCCAATGATGAAATGTCAATGTGGTAAAGAGAAGAGACAAGTACCCTGTATAATAACACCCTACAAAAAGGGCTGGAAATGTGAAGCGGAATGTGGCAAGGCTTTGTGTGACTTGAAACACAAATGTAAAAAAGGGTGCCATAGTGGATCATGTGGCAAGTGCGTGAAAAAAGTGGATTACAAGTGTTATTGCGGCGACACTAAGTTGCGTGGAAAATGCAGCAAGAGAGTTCCCTTGGAATGCGTTGGTAGAAACGGCAAAAAATGGATTGGCGGAGGATCATGTGGTAAACGGAAAAAGTATTATTATGATTGTGGCCAACATTATGAAGTTTTAGAATGTCAACCGCTAGGGGCCAAAGCCCAAGTCTCTAAATGTAAATTTTCACCGGATATTGTCTCGAGTTGCTATTGTGGCAAGAGTAGAATCAGTACACAAGGCCGCAGTAAATGTACCGATCCTATACCTGAGTGTGAAAATGTTTGTGGTAAGCTATTGCCATGTGGTTGTTATTGTAAATTTAAATGCCATCCCGGTGAATGTGAATGTGTTTCCATTTTTCCAATCACTTGCTCATGTGGCTATGAACAATTCTCGGCTCCTTGCAAGTATGTCCAACTGAATCAACAACCAAAATGCCACCATAAATGTTCTGTTTTGTTAAGTTGCAGAAAACATTACCACCGTAAAGAATGTTGTGAATATGAACAAGTTGCGTTGGAGAGAGAAAGGGCTAAAAAGAAAGCATTAAGAAACAATTTGATAGCTAGTGGTCGAGATGATATTATGTCAATCGAAGCTGTTCATATTTGTACGCAGACTTGCAATAGACTAAAATCATGCGGTGTCCACGAATGTCAAGCAATGTGTCATGCTGGACCATGTGAAGTTTGTCTTGAATCTACAAATGAGGATTTAATATGTAATTGTGGAAAGACAGTGATACCAGCTCCAGTTAGGTGTGGTACTGAGTTAGTATGCCATGAGCAATGTGTGAGACCGAAGGAGTGTGGGCATCGGCAGGAAGCTCATGAATGCCATCCAGATAGCATAAAGTGTCCCAAATGTACTACAATTGTGAAGAAACCGTGTGACTGTGGTGCAAGGAATGATTTACCGGGAATCATGTGCTCTCAAGAAAGAGTAAGTTGCGGTAAAATGTGTTCAGTTTTTAAAGAGTGTGGTCATCCTTGTTTACGTACTTGTTCACCTAAATGTACCAAAGAAAATGATCATATCAGCCCTAGAGAATGTCAAAGTATTTGTCAAAAAGTGAGAAAGAGTTGCCCGCACACATGCAAGTTAAAGTGTCACTTTGTTAAAGTTGGTAAGAGCCCAAATTGCGATGTTCTCAAGTGCAACGAAATTGTTACTGTATCATGCAGCTGTGGCAATTTGAAAAGAAAAGTTAAATGTGGGGCTTCAGTGAATAACCCAAGCTCAATTTACAATATTCTTGAATGTGACGAATCATGTACTGCAGCTAAACGTGATGCGCAATTACGAAGCGCATTTGCAATTGGTATTAGCAATAGTGACACTATAGATAATGAAGCAGCATACACTGATTTTGTTGTTGAAACTTATTACAAGCAAAAGAAATGGTGTAGCAAGATTGAAGATGTCATAAGAACTTTTATTGGGGAGTACAATTTACAAATTGAGAATGGAGTAGAATTACCAAAGAGAACTTATCATTTCCCTGCAATGGTTTCACTTCAGAGACAATTTGTTCATGAGTTGAGTCAAGCATTTAGTTTGTATACTGAATCGCAAGATTCTGAACCCAAGAGATCGGTGTTTGTTGTTATTACTAGGTTGACTAAACTTCCCGCAATCACCATAAAAGAATACGTTGAAATGATAAAAGAACAGGAGCAAAATAAAGCTAGGGAGTTAACACAAGAAGAGATTGATATGGCATTTTATAATGCCATTGTTATTCGAGATTTATTTTTTGGTGTGAACAAGGAAGATCTCGAGAAAGAGTTATTGAAAAAACAAGAAGCAATGGATGGCTTTGTTATCCAATGGATTAAAGACTCTACTTTTGTGCTTTATAATCAAGAGAAATATAAAATTGGTAGTACTGATGTTGCGTTGGAAAATCAATTGTCCATTATGCTGAACCAATTTGGAAAAATTTTGAGAGAGAAATCGTTAGCTTTTGACTGTAAATTATGCTTTATTGATGATGGTGGTAGTTTCATTTTAAAAACGGAGAAGAAAAAGACAACAAATGTTTCTTCTAATGTTGAAACTAAGATGAGTAGGGATAAAAATGTTTTCAATGTTTTACAGAATGACAAATTATTGATACAATCATGAGTTGACATTATCGTCTTTTTTTTTTGTTTATTTATAGGAAAAGTTTTTTATTTATAGATGTGTAATAAAAATCTACATAGGCGTGTTTCCAGATGGAGGAGAAGGGGAGGTGATGGTCTACACTGATATTTCAAAATTGGACCCAAATTAAAAAACTATTTTATTTTGATATTTATCAAAAAAATTATACATTTTCATTGCTGCTCTCTTTTGTACCTTCTTCCTTTCCTTCACTTACTTCGCTCTGATCTTTTGTCTTTCTTGTATGTTTTCTTCTCCTGTTAGGTTTCTTCGCTATCTTATCTTGTGGTGACAGATTATTTAGTCCAGGTGTTTTCTTCTTTTTCATACTTAGTGGATTAGGACCCTTTGGACCCTTTTTACTCTTCTTCTTTAACGGTTCACCGGCCGCATCTCCTCCCTCACCTTCTTCTCCGCCTTCACTTTTCTTGATTATACCCGCTTCAGTGGCATTTAATCCACCTGTCAATTTCCCCCTTTCCCAGTCTTCACTATACTTTACACTGGCATCACTCAATGGTTCCATCACCATTACTGATCGATTCATATAAATGAGCGGTACCCCAGGCACTTTTCTTAATTTCTTCCTCAACTCCAAACTCTGGGTTGCAACAACATATCTATGTTTATTACAGCCCTTGATGTCAACTATGCTTTCAACGCAATCCTGTGGATTTATTGGAGTCCGATGGTTACATTTCCTTCTTTCAAACGTTTTGGCTAAATCAATTAAAGGCTGGTTTTGCGTGGTGTAAAGGGCTTCCATACAGCATTGTGTTATCATCGGTTTTATTTCAATAGCTTGGATAGTTCGTTTGACACCACGGGCGAGGTCATAAGATGCTGAATGACATGTTGATATTATTTCATTATCTAAAATTACTTGATACGGTTCTCGAAATTTGAACGTGTATGTATAGGTATTCATTTGCTTCTTGTATGATTTAGCTCTTTTTTGTCTCATTTGCAACGGAATTTGGGACTGTGGTTAACCTTGTTCTATGAAGGTACAACTCTATTCTATAATGGTTAGCTGATGTACGATTTGAAGAAAAAGAAGAGATGAGGTATCTATTACACAAAAATCAAAATCGAGATGGGCCAAAGATCAAAGCTGCAAAAAAAAAAAAAAAAAAAAAAAAAAAAAAAAAAAAAAAATTAAAAAAAAAAAAAAAAAAATAAAAAAAAAAAAAAAAAGTAAAAAAAAAAAAAAAAGTAA